GCAAGCCCACCTCGACAAAGGCAGTGTTGTGTGCAGCCTGGGTCCGTCCATGCTCCTCCAGACTGTCAAAAAGTGCAACAAAGGAAAAATGCTGGAAGTTAGAATATATAACAACTTTACAGAATGCATTACCATAGTCTGCTCTTGGCAAAATTGAACAGCTGAATTGGCAAATGAAGATGTCTTGATCCTCTTGCAGATTAAGCAGTGATGGAAGCAGGAAAATTTACATACTGGTAGGTACTTCAGCGCTCGATTTCAAACTTACCGGAATATAACACCACTATCAGCAGATGCAACCACACTGTGATGGATCCACACAGTGCCCACCATCCAGTACAAGACCATCTGCACATCTACAACGTTTCTGGCAAGTGGTATTGCAGGACAATGTGCTCGCAGACCTAGGAACAGGTTGCTGGACAGCCACTGAAGCAGGGGTCGTACACAGTGTTGGAAGGACAGTTCAGTGCTGCACACCAAGATCAATATGGAACACAGTTTATGTATGCAAGAATATCATCTGAAAACCTACATGAAAACAAATTTCTCTCCAATCTTATCTCTCTGACAACTGCATCGACTCTCCAGACAAACGTAATAAAAATCGTCTTTCTAGTGACTTACGGCATTCTTCCACAAGCAATCTCCATCTGCCAGGTTTCCCTCCCTTGCTCCTGCAGGCACGAGCGTATTGTGCAAGACTGGAACACAGAGCATCATCATACGCGGTAAGACACACGTCATAGACGCACGAATCATAGTAGTCGTCTGGATCCACGATCTCAGGCAGGATTCAAATGGTCCTGAAGGAATAGAAAGTGCAGGTCAAAATGGTTTATGGACAATTGAAAGTGATTCTATATTTCCCAGCCATCGTCTCCTACCCATCTTGATAATTTCTTCACGCTTTTCCTCTAACCACAACTGGATACTGTTTTTGAAAAATACAAATATTCAGAACTGTAGGAAAACTACAGGAAGGAAGGTTGTTTCAGATGTGTTTCATTCTTACCGGAAGGATCCTTCAAATAATAGCACAGATCGTTGGATGCAGACAAGCTGTTCACTCCATCCTCACAAGGGTCAGTTGGACCTGGATCCACACCATCACATTGGTCAGGGTACGCAACCAGCTGTGTTTCCAAACTCAGTTGCTGATCTTGCCTGTTGAGAATTACCATCAACCATAACCATCATGAGTATCATCAAAGTATCAGACTGGTAATTGCATCACTGTAACACTCATCACAAAATATTAGAATTATGGAATGGCACCTTTTGAGATTTCTTTTCAAGTCAAGAACGAACTGAATTTGAAACGGGGGTTCAAATAGAACAGACATCTAGACTAAGTGCAAGGAGTATCTTACCAATTCTCCTGAAGGAAGTATCATATCATTGTTCTGGTCTCCATCAAAGGATCCACACAGGCCACAAGTTCTTCCTGCAAAGTAACTGAGGTACACATCAGCACTGTCCATTCCATCGTAGCTAACCCATAAGAAATCTGTTACCAGATTCTACAAAAGAGAAAGGAAAAAGAATCCCACACATCGTTAAACATGCAAGAACATTCAAAACTTCTTGCATGAGGTTGGAATAACTTATTACCACACAACCTCATGGAAAACTCTATGAACGACGAATACAGAAGATTCATATCAATTTCTAGGCTTTTCCATTTTAAACACATAACTAAAGTACATGGCACGTAATAGAATTCCTTACATTACACACAGCCCAACCATTTTTGAAATACTAAATATGAAAAACAGGGTTTATCTATGACATACCATGGATGTCACATCCCTGTAGATCCACACTTGCTCATCCATGTAAGGCAGGTTTTCAGATACATCTCTTCCATTCACTCTGACATGGAAGCCCTTGATCAGAGCGTATCTTCTATCGCTCAGGTCAAGTACCACTTCCCTCAGGTAAGAAACACTGTCAGATGGGCGCAGCCGTTCATTGTTGGACCACAGGTGGTAGTCACTGGAATTCTGGCAATCTCTGACCAGCGTGTAGTCACAATCACCCTGGAAGTTATATTTCTTATCGTCAAAGGTCACATAATGGGGGTCACCCCAGATCTGGCAATACCCAGGAGCTATAAGTATGAGACAAAATCAGACAAAAAAGGAATGATCAGTATCAACATCAGTGGTATCATCTGTACATCGCAATTGCCTTGCAGAGCTATCTTATATCTTGTACAAAGTGGCATGTTGATAAAAACATCTTCATCTAATGACTTCTGAAACGAACTTCTCACCTCTGAAGCAGGCATCTCCGAGAGAGGTGTAGCCATCTCTGCAGTAACAGCTTGGAAAACCGTTCCTGATTTCGCATTCTTCGTTTCTCTCCACACTGGAATTCGGAACACTCTGCAAGCCCACCTCGACAAAGGCAGTGTTGTGTGCAGCCTGGGTCAGTCCATGCTCCTCCAGACTGTCAAAAGTGCAACAAAGGAAAAATGCTGGAAGTTAGAATATATGAACAACTTTACAGATGCATTACCATAGCTGCTCTTGGCAAAATTGAACAGCTGAATTGGCAAATGAAGATGTCTTGATCCTCTTGCAGATTAAGCAGTGAATGGAAGCATGGAACATTTTCATACTGGTAGGTACTTCAGCGCTCGATTTCAAACTTACCGGAATATAAACACCACTATCCAGAGTGCAACCACACTGTGATGGATCCACACAGTGCCCACCATCCAGTACAAGACCATCTGCACATCTACACGTTTCCTGGCAAGTGGTATTGCAGGACAATGTGCTCGCAGCAGAGGAACAGGTTGCTGGACAGCCACTGAAGCAGGGGTCGTACACAGTGTTGGAAGGACAGTTCAGTGCTGCACACAAGATCAAATATGGAACACAGTTTATGTATGCAAGAATATCATCTGAAAACCTACATGAAAACAAATTTCTCTCCAATCTTATCTCTCTGACAACAATGCATCGACTCTCCAGACAAACGTAATAAAAATCGTCTTTCTAGTGACTTACGGCATTCTTCCACAAGCAATCTCCATCTGCCAGGTTTCCCTCCCTTGCTCCTGCAGGCACGAGCGTATTGTGCAAGACTGGAACACAGAGCATCATCACCGGTAAGACACACGTCATAGACGCACGAATCATAGTAGTCGTCTGGATCCACGATCTCAAGGCAGGATTCAAATGGTCCTGAAGGAATAGAAAGTGCAGGTCAAAATGGTTTATGGACAATTGAAAGTGATTCTATATTTCCCAGCCATCGTCTCCTACCCATCTTGATAATTTCTTCACAGCTTTTCCTCTAACCACAAACTGATACTGTTTTTGAAAAATACAAATATTCAGAACTGTAGGAAAACTACAGGAAGAGAAGGTTGTTTCAGATGTGTTTCATTCTTACCGGAAGGATCCTTCAAATAATAGCACAGATCGTTGGATGCAGACAAGCTGTTCACTCCATCCTCACAAGGGTCAGTTGGACCTGGATCCACACCATCACATTGGTCAGGGTACGCAACCCAGCTGTTTCCAAACTCAGTTGCTGATCTTGCCTGTTGAGAATTACCATCAACCATAACCATCATGAGTATCATCAAAGTATCAGACTGGTAATTGCATCACTGTAACACTCATCACAAAATATTAGAATTATGGAATGGCACCTTTTGAGATTTCTTTTCAAGTCAAGAACGAACTGAATTTGAAACGGGGGTTCAAATAGAACAGACATCTAGACTAAGTGCAAGGAGTATCTTACCAATTCTCCTGAAGGAAGTATCATATCATTGTTCTGGTCTCCATCAAAGGATCCACACAGGCCACAAGTTCTTCCTGCAAAGTAACTGAGGTACACATCAGCACTGTCCATCCATCGTAGCTAACCCATAAGAAATCTGTTACCAGATTCTACAAAAGAGAAAGGAAAAAGAATCCCACACATCGTTAAACATGCAAGAACATTCAAAACTTCTTGCATGAGGTTGGAATAACTTATTACCACACAACCTCATGGAAAACTCTATGAACGACGAATACAGAAGATTCATATCAATTTCTAGGCTTTTCCATTTTAAACACATAACTAAAGTACATGGCACGTAATAGAATTCCTTACATTACACACAGCCCAACCATTTTTGAAATACTAAATATGAAAAACAGGGTTTATCTATGACATACCATGGATGTCACATCCCTGTAGATCCACACTTGCTCATCCATGTAAGGCAGGTTTTCAGAGACATCTCTTCCATTCACTCTGACATGGAAGCCCTTGATCAGAGCGTATCTTCTATCGCTCAGGTCAAGTACCACTTCCCTCAGGTAAGAAACACTGTCAGATGGGCGCAGCCGTTCATTGTTGGACCACAGGTGGTAGTCACTGGAATTCTGGCAATCTCTGACCAGCGTGTAGTCACAATCACCCTGGAAGTTATATTTCTTATCGTCAAAGGTCACATAATGGGGGTCACCCCAGATCTGGCAATACCCAGGAGCTATAAGTATGAGACAAAATCAGACAAAAAAGGAATGATCAGTATCAACATCAGTGGTATCATCTGTACATCGCAATTGCCTTGCAGAGCTATCTTATATCTTGTACAAAGTGGCATGTTGATAAAAACATCTTCATCTAATGACTTCTGAAAACGAACTTCTCACCTCTGAAGCAGGCATCTCCGAGAGAGGTGTAGCCATCTCTGCAGTAACAGCTTGGAAAACCGTTCCTGATTTCGCATTCTTCGTTCTCTCCACACTGGAATTCGGAACACTCTGCAAGCCCACCTCGACAAAGGCAGTGTTGTGTGCAGCCTGGGTCAGTCCATGCTCCTCCAGACTGTCAAAAAGTGCAACAAAGGAAAAATGCTGGAAGTTAGAATATATGAACAACTTTACAGATGCATTACCATAGCTGCTCTTGGCAAAATTGAACAGCTGAATTGGCAAATGAAGATGTCTTGATCCTCTTGCAGATTAAGCAGTGATGGAAGCATGGAACATTTTCATACTGGTAGGTACTTCAGCGCTCGATTTCAAACTTACCGAATATAAACACCACTATCCAGAGTGCAACCACACTGTGATGGATCCACACAGTGCCCACCATCCAGTACAAGACCATCTGCACATCTACACGTTTCCTGGCAAGTGGTATTGCAGGACAATGTGCTCGCAGCAGAGGAACAGGTTGCTGGACAGCCACTGAAGCAGGGGTCGTACACAGTGTTGGAAGGACAGTTCAGTGCTGCACACAAGATCAAATATGGAACACAGTTTATGTATGCAAGAATATCATCTGAAAACCTACATGAAAACAAATTTCTCTCCAATCTTATCTCTCTGACAACAATGCATCGACTCTCCAGACAAACGTAATAAAAATCGTCTTTCTAGTGACTTACGGCATTCTTCCACAAGCAATCTCCATCTGCCAGGTTTCCCTCCCTTGCTCCTGCAGGCACGAGCGTATTGTGCAAGACTGGAACACAGAGCATCATCACCGGTAAGACACACGTCATAGACGCACGAATCATAGTAGTCGTCTGGATCCACGATCTCAAGGCAGGATTCAAATGGTCCTGAAGGAATAGAAAGTGCAGGTCAAAATGGTTTATGGACAATTGAAAGTGATTCTATATTTCCCAGCCATCGTCTCCTACCCATCTTGATAATTTCTTCACAGCTTTTCCTCTAACCACAAACTGATACTGTTTTTGAAAAATACAAATATTCAGAACTGTAGGAAAACTACAGGAAGAGAAGGTTGTTTCAGATGTGTTTCATTCTTACCGGAAGGATCCTTCAAATAATAGCACAGATCGTTGGATGCAGACAAGCTGTTCACTCCATCCTCACAAGGGTCAGTTGGACCTGGATCCACACCATCACATTGGTCAGGGTACGCAACCCAGCTGTTTCCAAACTCAGTTGCTGATCTTGCCTGTTGAGAATTACCATCAACCATAACCATCATGAGTATCATCAAAGTATCAGACTGGTAATTGCATCACTGTAACACTCATCACAAAATATTAGAATTATGGAATGGCACCTTTTGAGATTTCTTTTCAAGTCAAGAACGAACTGAATTTGAAACGGGGGTTCAAATAGAACAGACATCTAGACTAAGTGCAAGGAGTATCTTACCAATTCTCCTGAAGGAAGTATCATATCATTGTTCTGGTCTCCATCAAAGGATCCACACAGGCCACAAGTTCTTCCTGCAAAGTAACTGAGGTACACATCAGCACTGTCCATTCCATCGTAGCTAACCCATAAGAAATCTGTTACCAGATTCTACAAAAGAGAAAGGAAAAAGAATCCCACACATCGTTAAACATGCAAGAACATTCAAAACTTCTTGCATGAGGTTGGAATAACTTATTACCACACAACCTCATGGAAAACTCTATGAACGACGAATACAGAAGATTCATATCAATTTCTAGGCTTTTCCATTTTAAACACATAACTAAAGTACATGGCACGTAATAGAATTCCTTACATTACACACAGCCCAACCATTTTTGAAATACTAAATATGAAAAACAGGGTTTATCTATGACATACCATGGATGTCACATCCCTGTAGATCCACACTTGCTCATCCATGTAAGGCAGGTTTTCAGAGACATCTCTTCCATTCACTCTGACATGGAAGCCCTTGATCAGAGCGTATCTTCTATCGCTCAGGTCAAGTACCACTTCCCTCAGGTAAGAAACACTGTCAGATGGGCGCAGCCGTTCATTGTTGGACCACAGGTGGTAGTCACTGGAATTCTGGCAATCTCTGACCAGCGTGTAGTCACAATCACCCTGGAAGTTATATTTCTTATCGTCAAAGGTCACATAATGGGGGTCACCCCAGATCTGGCAATACCCAGGAGCTATAAGTATGAGACAAAATCAGACAAAAAGGAATGATCAGTATCAACATCAGTGGTATCATCTGTACATCGCAATTGCCTTGCAGAGCTATCTTATATCTTGTACAAAGTGGCATGTTGATAAAAACATCTTCATCTAATGACTTCTGAAAACGAACTTCTCACCTCTGAAGCAGGCATCTCCGAGAGAGGTGTAGCCATCTCTGCAGTAACAGCTTGGAAAACCGTTCCTGATTTCGCATTCTTCGTTCTCTCCACACTGGAATTCGGAACACTCTGCAAGCCCACCTCGACAAAGGCAGTGTTGTGTGCAGCCTGGGTCAGTCCATGCTCCTCCAGACTGTCAAAAAGTGCAACAAAGGAAAATGCTGGAAGTTAGAATATATGAACAACTTTACAGATGCATTACCATAGCTGCTCTTGGCAAAATTGAACAGCTGAATTGGCAAATGAAGATGTCTTGATCCTCTTGCAGATTAAGCAGTGAATGGAAGCATGGAACATTTTCATACTGGTAGGTACTTCAGCGCTCGATTTCAAACTTACCGGAATATAAACACCACTATCCAGAGTGCAACCACACTGTGATGGATCCACACAGTGCCCACCATCCAGTACAAGACCATCTGCACATCTACACGTTTCCTGGCAAGTGGTATTGCAGGACAATGTGCTCGCAGCAGAGGAACAGGTTGCTGGACAGCCACTGAAGCAGGGGTCGTACACAGTGTTGGAAGGACAGTTCAGTGCTGCACACAAGATCAAATATGGAACACAGTTTATGTATGCAAGAATATCATCTGAAAACCTACATGAAAACAAATTTCTCTCCAATCTTATCTCTCTGACAACAATGCATCGACTCTCCAGACAAACGTAATAAAAATCGTCTTTCTAGTGACTTACGGCATTCTTCCACAAGCAATCTCCATCTGCCAGGTTTCCCTCCCTTGCTCCTGCAGGCACGAGCGTATTGTGCAAGACTGGAACACAGAGCATCATCACCGGTAGACACACGTCATAGACGCACGAATCATAGTAGTCGTCTGGATCCACGATCTCAAGGCAGGATTCAAATGGTCCTGAAGGAATAGAAAGTGCAGGTCAAAATGGTTTATGGACAATTGAAAGTGATTCTATATTTCCCAGCCATCGTCTCCTACCCATCTTGATAATTTCTTCACAGCTTTTCCTCTAACCACAAACTGATACTGTTTTTGAAAAATACAAATATTCAGAACTGTAGGAAAACTACAGGAAGAGAAGGTTGTTTCAGATGTGTTTCATTCTTACCGGAAGGATCCTTCAAATAATAGCACAGATCGTTGGATGCAGACAAGCTGTTCACTCCATCCTCACAAGGGTCAGTTGGACCTGGATCCACACCATCACATTGGTCAGGGTACGCAACCCAGCTGTTTCCAAACTCAGTTGCTGATCTTGCCTGTTGAGAATTACCATCAACCATAACCATCATGAGTATCATCAAAGTATCAGACTGGTAATTGCATCACTGTAACACTCATCACAAAATATTAGAATTATGGAATGGCACCTTTTGAGATTTCTTTTCAAGTCAAGAACGAACTGAATTTGAAACGGGGGTTCAAATAGAACAGACATCTAGACTAAGTGCAAGGAGTATCTTACCAATTCTCCTGAAGGAAGTATCATATCATTGTTCTGGTCTCCATCAAAGGATCCACACAGGCCACAAGTTCTTCCTGCAAAGTAACTGAGGTACACATCAGCACTGTCCATTCCATCGTAGCTAACCCATAAGAAATCTGTTACCAGATTCTACAAAAGAGAAAGGAAAAAGAATCCCACACATCGTTAAACATGCAAGAACATTCAAAACTTCTTGCATGAGGTTGGAATAACTTATTACCACACAACCTCATGGAAAACTCTATGAACGACGAATACAGAAGATTCATATCAATTTCTAGGCTTTTCCATTTTAAACACATAACTAAAGTACATGGCACGTAATAGAATTCCTTACATTACACACAGCCCAACCATTTTTGAAATACTAAATATGAAAAACAGGGTTTATCTATGACATACCATGGATGTCACATCCCTGTAGATCCACACTTGCTCATCCATGTAAGGCAGGTTTTCAGAGACATCTCTTCCATTCACTCTGACATGGAAGCCCTTGATCAGAGCGTATCTTCTATCGCTCAGGTCAAGTACCACTTCCCTCAGGTAAGAAACACTGTCAGATGGGCGCAGCCGTTCATTGTTGGACCACAGGTGGTAGTCACTGGAATTCTGGCAATCTCTGACCAGCGTGTAGTCACAATCACCCTGGAAGTTATATTTCTTATCGTCAAAGGTCACATAATGGGGGTCACCCCAGATCTGGCAATACCCAGGAGCTATAAGTATGAGACAAAATCAGACAAAAAAGGAATGATCAGTATCAACATCAGTGGTATCATCTGTACATCGCAATTGCCTTGCAGAGCTATCTTATATCTTGTACAAAGTGGCATGTTGATAAAAACATCTTCATCTAATGACTTCTGAAAACGAACTTCTCACCTCTGAAGCAGGCATCTCCGAGAGAGGTGTAGCCATCTCTGCAGTAACAGCTTGGAAAACCGTTCCTGATTTCGCATTCTTCGTTCTCTCCACACTGGAATTCGGAACACTCTGCAAGCCCACCTCGACAAAGGCAGTGTTGTGTGCAGCCTGGGTCAGTCCATGCTCCTCCAGACTGTCAAAAAGTGCAACAAAGGAAAAATGCTGGAAGTTAGAATATATGAACAACTTTACAGATGCATTACCATAGCTGCTCTTGGCAAAATTGAACAGCTGAATTGGCAAATGAAGATGTCTTGATCCTCTTGCAGATTAAGCAGTGAATGGAAGCATGGAACATTTTCATACTGGTAGGTACTTCAGCGCTCGATTTCAAACTTACCGGAATATAAACACCACTATCCAGAGTGCAACCACACTGTGATGGATCCACACAGTGCCCACCATCCAGTACAAGACCATCTGCACATCTACACGTTTCCTGGCAAGTGGTATTGCAGGACAATGTGCTCGCAGCAGAGGAACAGGTTGCTGGACAGCCACTGAAGCAGGGGTCGTACACAGTGTTGGAAGGACAGTTCAGTGCTGCACACAAGATCAAATATGGAACACAGTTTATGTATGCAAGAATATCATCTGAAAACCTACATGAAAACAAATTTCTCTCCAATCTTATCTCTCTGACAACAATGCATCGACTCTCCAGACAAACGTAATAAAAATCGTCTTTCTAGTGACTTACGGCATTCTTCCACAAGCAATCTCCATCTGCCAGGTTTCCCTCCCTTGCTCCTGCAGGCACGAGCGTATTGTGCAAGACTGGAACACAGAGCATCATCACCGGTAAGACACACGTCATAGACGCACGAATCATAGTAGTCGTCTGGATCCACGATCTCAAGGCAGGATTCAAATGGTCCTGAAGGAATAGAAAGTGCAGGTCAAATGGTTTATGGACAATTGAAAGTGATTCTATATTTCCCAGCCATCGTCTCCTACCCATCTTGATAATTTCTTCACAGCTTTTCCTCTAACCACAAACTGATACTGTTTTTGAAAAATACAAATATTCAGAACTGTAGGAAAACTACAGGAAGAGAAGGTTGTTTCAGATGTGTTTCATTCTTACCGGAAGGATCCTTCAAATAAAAGCACAGATCGTTGGATGCAGACAAGCTGTTCACTCCATCCTCACAAGGGTCAGTTGGACCTGGATCCACACCATCACATTGGTCAGGGTACGCAACCCAGCTGTTTCCAAACTCAGTTGCTGATCTTGCCTGTTGAGAATTACCATCAACCATAACCATCATGAGTATCATCAAAGTATCAGACTGGTAATTGCATCACTGTAACACTCATCACAAAATATTAGAATTATGGAATGGCACCTTTTGAGATTTCTTTTCAAGTCAAGAACGAACTGAATTTGAAACGGGGGTTCAAATAGAACAGACATCTAGACTAAGTGCAAGGAGTATCTTACCAATTCTCCTGAAGGAAGTATCATATCATTGTTCTGGTCTCCATCAAAGGATCCACACAGGCCACAAGTTCTTCCTGCAAAGTAACTGAGGTACACATCAGCACTGTCCATTCCATCGTAGCTAACCCATAAGAAATCTGTTACCAGATTCTACAAAAGAGAAAGGAAAAAGAATCCCACACATCGTTAAACATGCAAGAACATTCAAAACTTCTTGCATGAGGTTGGAATAACTTATTACCACACAACCTCATGGAAAACTCTATGAACGACGAATACAGAAGATTCATATCAATTTCTAGGCTTTTCCATTTTAAACACATAACTAAAGTACATGGCACGTAATAGAATTCCTTACATTACACACAGCCCAACCATTTTTGAAATACTAAATATGAAAAACAGGGTTTATCTATGACATACCATGGATGTCACATCCCTGTAGATCCACACTTGCTCATCCATGTAAGGCAGGTTTTCAGAGACATCTCTTCCATTCACTCTGACATGGAAGCCCTTGATCAGAGCGTATCTTCTATCGCTCAGGTCAAGTACCACTTCCCTCAGGTAAGAAACACTGTCAGATGGGCGCAGCCGTTCATTGTTGGACCACAGGTGGTAGTCACTGGAATTCTGGCAATCTCTGACCAGCGTGTAGTCACAATCACCCTGGAAGTTATATTTCTTATCGTCAAAGGTCACATAATGGGGGTCACCCCAGATCTGGCAATACCCAGGAGCTATAAGTATGAGACAAAATCAGACAAAAAAGGAATGATCAGTATCAACATCAGTGGTATCATCTGTACATCGCAATTGCCTTGCAGAGCTATCTTATATCTTGTACAAAGTGGCATGTTGATAAAAACATCTTCATCTAATGACTTCTGAAAACGAACTTCTCACCTCTGAAGCAGGCATCTCCGAGAGAGGTGTAGCCATCTCTGCAGTAACAGCTTGGAAAACCGTTCCTGATTTCGCATTCTTCGTTCTCTCCACACTGGAATTCGGAACACTCTGCAAGCCCACCTCGACAAAGGCAGTGTTGTGTGCAGCCTGGGTCAGTCCATGCTCCTCCAGACTGTCAAAAAGTGCAACAAAGGAAAAATGCTGGAAGTTAGAATATATGAACAACTTTACAGATGCATTACCATAGCTGCTCTTGGCAAAATTGAACAGCTGAATTGGCAAATGAAGATGTCTTGATCCTCTTGCAGATTAAGCAGTGAATGGAAGCATGGAACATTTTCATACTGGTAGGTACTTCAGCGCTCGATTTCAAACTTACCGGAATATAAACACCACTATCCAGAGTGCAACCACACTGTGATGGATCCACACAGTGCCCACCATCCAGTACAAGACCATCTGCACATCTACACGTTTCCTGGCAAGTGGTATTGCAGGACAATGTGCTCGCAGCAGAGGAACAGGTTGCTGGACAGCCACTGAAGCAGGGGTCGTACACAGTGTTGGAAGGACAGTTCAGTGCTGCACACAAGATCAAATATGGAACACAGTTTATGTATGCAAGAATATCATCTGAAAACCTACATGAAAACAAATTTCTCTCCAATCTTATCTCTCTGACAACAATGCATCGACTCTCCAGACAAACGTAATAAAAATCGTCTTTCTAGTGACTTACGGCATTCTTCCACAAGCAATCTCCATCTGCCAGGTTTCCCTCCCTTGCTCCTGCAGGCACGAGCATATTGTGCAAGACTGGAACACAGAGCATCATCACCGGTAAGACACACGTCATAGACGCACGAATCATAGTAGTCGTCTGGATCCACGATCTCAAGGCAGGATTCAAATGGTCCTGAAGGAATAGAAAGTGCAGGTCAAAATGGTTTATGGACAATTGAAAGTGATTCTATATTTCCAGCCATCGTCTCCTACCCATCTTGATAATTTCTTCACAGCTTTTCCTCTAACCACAAACTGATACTGTTTTTGAAAAATACAAATATTCAGAACTGTAGGAAAACTACAGGAAGAGAAGGTTGTTTCAGATGTGTTTCATTCTTACCGGAAGGATCCTTCAAATAATAGCACAGATCGTTGGATGCAGACAAGCTGTTCACTCCATCCTCACAAGGGTCAGTTGGACCTGGATCCACACCATCACATTGGTCAGGGTACGCAACCCAGCTGTTTCCAAACTCAGTTGCTGATCTTGCCTGTTGAGAATTACCATCAACCATAACCATCATGAGTATCATCAAAGTATCAGACTGGTAATTGCATCACTGTAACACTCATCACAAAATATTAGAATTATGGAATGGCACCTTTTGAGATTTCTTTTCAAGTCAAGAACGAACTGAATTTGAAACGGGGGTTCAAATAGAACAGACATCTAGACTAAGTGCAAGGAGTATCTTACCAATTCTCCTGAAGGAAGTATCATATCATTGTTCTGGTCTCCATCAAAGGATCCACACAGGCCACAAGTTCTTCCTGCAAAGTAACTGAGGTACACATCAGCACTGTCCATTCCATCGTAGCTAACCCATAAGAAATCTGTTACCAGATTCTACAAAAGAGAAAGGAAAAAGAATCCCACACATCGTTAAACATGCAAGAACATTCAAAACTTCTTGCATGAGGTTGGAATAACTTATTACCACACAACCTCATGGAAAACTCTATGAACGACGAATACAGAAGATTCATATCAATTTCTAGGCTTTTCCATTTTAAACACTTAACCCGTTCCTTCCGGGAACCTGGTATACCAGGCTCCCGTGGAGCCCACTCACAGACGGGAACCTGGTATACCAGGTTTCCATAATAGGCAGGTAGACGACGTCTTTACAAGCCTAAAATTGCCTTTCCCTGCCATTAATTCACTAAACTAGTGGATGTGAGGGTTTATCCAAAGTATATGCTATCATTATCCATTACTCCTGTTTTGTTTACTTTAATATTACTCATTATATTTGTACTTTTTCATTAGCATGTCAAGTTTTCTCTCACATGAAATTCGTACAGCAGCGTATTGGAGCTCCGCGATGTCTGTCCCACAGATATTGACTTTCGCTGAGACCTTCCATGCACAGAATACCAATACTGCTGGTATTTCAATTGGGAGCAGCGCAAAGCCAAAGCCTATAACGGCACGCGGCACGCGCGGAACAATGCACTTCACTGCACATGAAAGGAAAATCCAAAGGTCAGCTCTCTATTGTCAACAACAACAAGCAGTATTATAAGTCTAAAGCAAGATCGCGAGGTTGTACTCGATTTAGTCTCCGAAAATGAGTTTTGATCAGGTGTATGCTAGATTTATCATTATGACATTTTGTATCACCGACCCCCCCCCCCCCTCAAAGCTCAGATTTATTATTTAGTTTGTCTCTCTTTTTGTTTGTTTATATTTCCTGGCTAAAGTATGATGTCTGACGTATAGTAACGTCAATATAGCATAATAAACATTTTTGTATAGCAGTTTGATGTAACATAGATTTACATTCAAAAGCTTTACTTTTATAAGTATTGGACAGTAATATTCTTCTCATTTCGACTTTATCAGCCGCTCACTCTCTATAGCGTTCCCTATACTAAGGTATATGTGAGAGGAGATATAAAATATTTGAGAAAGAGGGGGAGATAGAAAGTTATCTCCGATCCCCCCCCCCCCCCAGCTCTGATTGTTTTTCTTTTGTGTACGTTTCTTTTTTTGTTTGATTATTTCTTTTCGCTAAAGTATAATGTCTGACGTATAACATCAGGGATATGTTATAATAATTAATCTCAAGGAAAGGATGATGCCGGCATGCAAGTAAATGGCGGAATAGTAGACAACATCATGAAAGATGAAGATGGAAAACAACGTAGAAAGAGAGATAGAGAGAGAGAGAGAGAGAGAGAGACAGCGAGAGGGAGAGAGAGAGAGAGAGAGAGGAGGGTGGACGGGGGCAGAATAGATAGAAAGTTTGACGTAGTCTGTTCTGTATTTATTATTATGATATTTTTCTCACCGACTACCCCCCCCCCCCCCCCCCCACAAACCTCAGATTTTTTCTTTAGTTTTTCTCTTTTTTTGTTTGTTTATATCTTTTGGCTAGAGCACAATGTCCGACGGATAATAGTACCGTCAATATAGCATAATAACAATTTGTTTATATCAGTTTGATGCAACAGAGATTTACATTCAAAAAATTTATTTTGTATAAATATTGTACAGTAATATTCTTCTTATTTTGACATTATCAGCCGCTCGTTTTCTTTTTCGCTCCCTATAATAAATATAAGGTATAATAATGTACATCATCAGGGATAATTTTAGGTTATAATAATTAATCTCAAAGAAGGAATGGTGCCGGCATACAAGCAAATGGCGGAACAACATTGGCAGATAGACAGAGAGACAGACGGAGAGAGAGGGAGAAAGTGGAGAGTTTGAGAGAGAGAGAGAGAGAGAGAGAGAGAGATAGAGAGAGGAAAGAGAGAGAGACACACACACACATAAAGAGAGTGAAAAAGAGAAAAAAAGAGATAGAAACAATCATTTCTCATCATCATCTTTTTGTCTGTTACATTTTAGCATATCATATATTCTTGTTCATTCCTTTATCTTGTATGATTGATATTATCTTTGAATGATTGCAAAAACAACAAGACCCCACTCCCCAAAAAACACACACAAAAAAAACATGGTTATACATGTAGGATCATCAGTGCTGTAAGCCAGGTCATTGCCATTCAATTATACCCTTACCTTACTTCCGCTCTTCTATTGTTGGGGTTTATAACCATGACAACAACCTTTACATCCGTCAACGTTCTTTGTTCCTCTTACGTAACTAAGTTGTGGGATCATGGGCCAAAGACAAAGATATAGCTCTTTTCACATATTCTATATAGGTCCCAAATACTTGCAGACATTTCTGTGTCATTTGTATTTGTACGTACTTTGTCAATTCATACTTACAAACTATAATTGTCAAAATTTGCCAATATATTCATACATATTGATATTATATAGCGCCTTTACATAAAACATGATCAAAGCGCTTTACATTAGTAAATAAAACAGAATAATTTTTTTGCTCTCTAGGCCATACTTCAGAACTATTTCGTTTCCCCTATATCATCTTCCGCTCTAGAATCCTATCTTGTTTATATTTATTTATTGTGTATGTGTCCTTGTCTCCCTCTCCATTATTCTTCTGTTTTTGAAAGAGAAAGTTTCATTCTTTCTCTTCTTTCTCTTATAATGTTATCCACCTACTTCTAGATGACCCTTTTGTGGTAAAGTATAATGTCCGATGTATATTATTTCCGTCGATATAATGAACGTTTCATTTTATTTTGATGCAACAGAGATTTACATTCAAAATCAAAACTTTTACTTTCTATAATTTGTGTACAGTGATATTCATTTTGACATTATCAGCCGCTCGTTCTCTATTTTTTTTCCCTAGTATTTAAGATGTATGTTTTCATCATCATGGATATGTTATCATAATTTATCTCAAAGAAGGAATGATGCCGGCATACAAGCAAATGGCGGAACAACATTGACAGATAGAGAGAGAGAGATAGAACCTTGGACGTAGTCATAAAGTATAATGTCCGACCAAGGAGTTATTTCCTTTGTCCGACGTATATTAGTTCTGTCAAAAAAGATTGTGTCATATTATTTTTTGCATAAGAGATGTTTTTATATCCAAACTCTTACTTTTAACAATTCTTATTTATATGTCGAAACGTGCTTTCGGAAATCGCGGAACAGAAAACAGTATGAGAGAGATAAAGTATAATGCACGGTTTTTATAGAGTGAGAGAGAGAGAGAGAGAGAAAGTTGGGCGCATCGTTATATAGTCTGTACTGTATTTATAAGTATGCTATTTTGGCTCTCCTTTCACCTCCCCCCCCTCCCCCCCCCCCCCCCCCCCCCCCCCCCGTTCTGGATTCTTCTTGAGTTTCATTTGATCATGTTTACATATTTTCGCTACATTATATTGTCAGACGTAAATTATAACAGTCAATTTTGGCTGATAAACTATTTCAAATAAATTTTATGCAACAGAAACTTACATTGAAATAGTTTACTTTTTATATACTGTGTATTTTCTCATAAAATCGAGTATCAAAATAAAAAAGAGTATAGGAAGAAGAAGAAAAAGAAGAAGAAGAAGGAGGAGGAATAAGAGTGACAAGGAAAAAAATAGATACGGAGGAGAAAAAAGAAGAACAAAATAAGTAGGTAGAAGAGGAAAAAAAGATAACGAAGAAAAACAACCTACAGTACGGAAGAGCTGAAAGAACTTAGAGCACAGCAGATTGCGAAATGATCTGCGCATGCGCTAAGTTCCTGCTCGTCGGAGCGACTGGCCAGGCTTTAGGTCGCTTCAACGCACACGCATTGTTCCGCGCGCTGAACAGTCGCACGGTATTGTACGGCAGCGAAGGAGTCGAGTTTTCGATTTTTAATCTCGTTTGTGGGATGGCTATCAGGCTAAATAATTTCGGAAGGAACGGGATAACTAAAGTACATGGCACGTAATAGAATTCCTTACATTACACACAGCCCAACCATTTTTGAAATACTAAATATGAAAAACAGGGTTTATCTATGACATACCATGGATGTCACATCCCTGTAGATCCACACTTGCTCATCCATGTAAGGCAGGTTTTCAGATACATCTCTTCCATTCACTCTGACATGGAAGCCCTTGATCAGAGCGTATCTTCTATCGCTCAGGTCAAGTACCACTTCCCTCAGGTAAGAAACACTGTCAGATGGGCGCAGCCGTTCATTGTTGGACCACAGGTGGTAGTCACTGGAATTCTGGCAATCTCTGACCAGCGTGTAGTCACAATCACCCTGGAAGTTATATTTCTTATCGTCAAAGGTCACATAATGGGGGTCACCCCAGATCTGGCAATACCCAGGAGCTATAAGTATAAGACAAAATCAGACAAAAAAGGAATGATCAGTATCAACATCAGTGGCATCATCTGTACATCGCAATTGCCTTGCAGAGCTATCTTATATCTTGTACAAAGTGGCATGTTGATAAAAACATCTTCATCTAATGACTTCTGAAAACGAACTTCTCACCTCTGAAGCAGGCATCTCCGAGAGAGGTGTAGCCATCTCTGCAGTAACAGCTTGGAAAACCGTTCCTGATTTCGCATTCTTCGTTCTCTCCACACTGGAATTCGGAACACTCTGCAAGCCCACCTCGACAAAGGCAGTGTTGTGTGCAGCCTGGGTCAGTCCATGCTCCTCCAGACTGTCAAAAAGTGCAACAAAGGAAAAATGCTGGAAGTTAGAATATATGAACAACTTTACAGATGCATTACCATAGCTGCTCTTGGCAAATTTGAACAGCTGAATTGGCAAATGAAGATGTCTTGATCCTCTTGCAGATTAAGCAGTGATGGAAGCATGGAAAATTTACATACTGGTAGGTACTTCAGCGCTCGATTTCAAACTTACCGGAATATAAACACCACTATCCAGAGTGCAACCACACTGTGATGGATCCACACAGTGCCCACCATCCAGTACAAGACCATCTGCACATCTACATGTTTCCTGGCAAGTGGTATTGCAGGACAATGTGCTCGTAGCAGAGGAACAGGTTGCTGGACAGCCACTGAAGCAGGGGTCGTACACAGTGTTGGAAGGACAGTCCAATGCTGTATGAAATTATAGACATTTAAATTGCATAGGTAACGAATTCAATGCTTATATGAATGTTCACCATAAGAATATACATTTTGTTTCTGTTGTTACTGCCTTAATGACTGTCACTGTTTTCTACTTCCTATATCATAGTGGTTGACAGGGTAGATGTGGCGTTTAAAATTCATACTGGACCCTGAAAGTGGGGCTGTGAATAGCAATGCAATCGCCAATAATCTAGCTACACTATAGGCAATGTGATACACAAAAATGATCAGGAAACCTGCAGCTGCAGAATAGCGTAGGTTATTCTACCTTTAAATACCAAGAGGTGAAAATAAAAATATAAAGGGACTTGTTTTCAGTTATTGCCTACCAAATTCTTTTATTCCCATAGGCTTCAATAAGGGAGCCACCCATTAATAAATAACAATTTGATTAACAAAATATATTTGATTTAACACATTGACTACTGAGTGTTTTTATTCCCATAGGTCTTTGTCCAGGAGCCACCCACTTCCTGGGTTAAAGGTATAGACCAGTTCTGGTCATGCGATTGCATTGTTAAAGAAACGGTGTGGAATCGATCAGAAAAGGTTGATCATCTAGCATATAAGTATTGGTGTGTACTGCAAGGTTCTGGAATCATCAAAATGATAAGAGATTTGGCCCACTCTTGGTAAAGTTACAAGCACTGTACACAGAAAGATGTATATTGGACTACGCGATATCTATCCAGTCCGGATAGATGATTTGCCAAATATATCAATTAGTAGGCAGTTTCCCGGCAAAATATGTATCATCACGTAATAGTAAAAACATATTCTTTCACATGATTGGTAATAAGAGCTTCCATTTCATTTTTTGAGAGGGGGGCGTTTCCAAAACTGGTCTATACCATTAAAATAATTTTACTTACGGCATTCCGGTACATGCACTCTCCAGGTTCCAGGGTTCCCTCCCTTGCTTTTGCAGGCCTGGGCGTACTGTTCTAGACTCGCACACAGGGCATCATCATCCATCTCACATACATCATACAGACATGAATCATAGTGGTCATCAGGGTCAACATAACTGTGGCAGGATGCAAAGGGTCCTGAAACACAACAGCAATGATCGTCACTATGCCATCAACATCAACTTCTAACTAACACGGATCAGTTATCTTTCATGCGATGTACACGTACGTGTAAAATACCAAGATAGACTACTATCTACCCCCCAACAAAAAAGCCTTTAAATATTGATTGACTCAAAGACATGAAAAACATAATTCAGCTGTTACTGCAAATGGGTACATCAACTAGAAAGACAAGCTTTGGATCTTGGTATCAATGTTTATTGCCACAGTGTTCAAGAAAGCCAATATTTACCCTGTTGAATCGCGAGCCTAAGAATATATCTGCAACACCCAAATCATGTTTCCGTCAGTTAAAAGTTCATATTTCATTTTGAAATATTAAAGATTACAAGCTAGCGTATGAATAATTTTTCTTTAAAGTCATTTTATAACATTACACTCATACCAAGAGGATCCTTAAGGTAGTAGCAAAGATCAACAGCATCCTCCAGGCTGGTCACTCCATTGTCACAAGGATCAGTTGGACCTGGATCCACATCATCACATTGGTCGGGATTCACAACCCAGCTGTTTCCAAACTCAGTTACTGATCTTGCCTGAAAAAAGAGGGAAATTATTTTCCATCATCAACGATGCCATAGAAGCATTTATTTGAATATTTAAGTGTTCCTCTGCTCCATAATACCCTTTATCAGTCTCGATCGTCTAAAACAGGAACTTGAAAAAGGGAAGTTCATATGCTGAAATGGATTATAATGAGGATGGACAAACTACTTGTATATGTGACTGTAGGAGGAACTGACAGAGGCTAACTTTCTGACCCCACCTACCAGAACACCTGAACATCCAAATAGATTCAACCCTGCAGCTAGATCCCTTCTCCTGTACAGAATGGGTGTTGTGGAGTGATTGAAGAATAAGAAGATGAAAAATACCCATCGTACCATTTTTGTCAAGTTCACTTTGCCATCATCAATTCTGAACATTGGATTGAAATAGATGTGTGGTCCTTTAGGCGAAGCTTACCATTTCTCCTGAAGGCAGCATGAGGTCATTGGTCCGGTCTCCATCAAAGGATCCACACAGGCCACAAGTTCTTCCTGCATTGTAGCCGAGGTACACATTAGCACTGTCCTGTCCATCATAGCTAACCCATAAGAAATCTGTTACCAGATTCTACAAAGAGAAACAAACCCAAACGTTCTTTGACCTGTAAACATAATAACTTGTCTTTAGATTAAAAAACAAGAACTTAATGTTGTTAGTTTCATTGCTAATAAACATGCATTTAATCAGTATAAACGTATGTATCTACATGCAATTCCTGATACATAAATGAAACATATACTATATAGTGTATTTACGTATATATAAATTATGAGGGTCTCTACACAACTGATCATATCTGTATCATATGTACATACCATTGAGGTTACATCCCTGTAGATCCACACTTCACTATCCATGTAGGGCAGGTTCTCAGATACATCAATGCCATTAACTCTGACATGGAAGCCCTTGATAAGGGAGTATATGTTGCCTTTCAATTCCAGAATAACCTCTCTAAGGTAGGAAACCCTATCTGATGGGCGCAGCCGTTCATTGTTGGACCACAGGTGATATTCACTGGAATTCTGGCAATCTCTGACCAGTGTGTAGTCACAATCACCCTGGAAGTTATATTTCTTATCGTCAAAGGTCACATAATGAGGGTCACCCCAGATCTGGCAGAAACCGGGAGCTGGTATTGAGAAAAAACAAATATGAGTTTTGAGCATGCATTTACTTCAAAGGAAAATACAACCGTTTTGCAGCCTCAAGTTTGGGATCCTTCCTTGTGTGTGCATCAGGGGAGATGGTGCAATGCATAATTCATATCCTTTGTTCTCCCCACATACATAGTATTCACAATGAGCCAATAATTCTGCCATTGCTTTATTCATATCTTCTTCACCAGGACACTGCATATTCACAATTGAGATTAATACATGTCTGCATTAGGAGGTCTTTTCCTTGAAAGATATTCCTAACATATTTTTAATATTTTCAACATCTGTTATTCCCTGTTCAATCCTTACGCAATATCAAGTCACTTTGTAATTTATTTTTGTGAAACTATTTCGTTTGAAGGATGCTTATCTTCAGTTCAAGTTCTGGTTCAAATTCGAGTTCACAATCATGCTTACCCCTAACACATCTCTCTCCGAGTGGGAGGAATCCATCAAGGCAGTAACAATCTTGCACACCGTTCCTGAGATCACATTCTTCATTCTCCCCACATCCGTAGGCTTCACACTGAGCCTCTCCATTAAAGCAGGTGCATCGCTGGCTGCAGTCAGGACTTGTCCAAGTATCTGTAGGCTTGAATAGGAGAGAGAACAACAGATCAAGTGTGAAATGACTGAATACATATAATTATGTTAACCCTTAAGGTGACAACAAGTTTACAAATATATATCACAATAATGATTTTTTTATGATGATATGATGATACCTAATTATACAATAAATGAACCCGATCTAAATTTCCAGAAGAACTTTTATTTTTTACTTACAACAAATGTAAGATCACCTGATACAATATCAGAAAAAAAATTCAGATTGAACTGCCTTTTGGCATTGAAAGGGTTTTAAAAAAAATAGATGCTAAAGATGAATTTTCATGACAAATGTCATGAGTAATTGACCACAGCTTGGTATAACTAACATACATTTATTTAAGTACAACTGAACTTGAATCGAAATGGCAAATTGAAAAGTGGCCTTCTTTAGATGAGGAGCAAAGTAGGATAAATAGACATTTAAGAAAGATTGGCTTGTATTGCTTATTTTCATTTATTTTCCAGTTTATATTTATATGCTTGTTCATATTATTTGTGATTTTATTAAAATGGAGGAAATAAAATGCACTGATAAGTTAAAACCATATTGCATATAATCGGTACTGCAGAGTTTATTAAGCTTAACATACTGCATATAGTGAAGTCTCAGGAGAGACACAGACTAAATAGAATATGAGAAAATTCCCTGCATAAATAGCATGAGTTAAATCTGACGTACTGAGATGTAGACTCCATCAGCAACCAAGCATCCACATTCCGATGGTTCCACACATTGTCCTCGATCATCCAGCTTTCCATCACGACAGGTACAAGTCTCTTGGCATGGCAGACTACAGCTGATAGCAGCCTCAGGCTCCGCACAGCTTGGGTGACAGGCACTCCCACACAGCTCGTAGAGTCTATCACTTGGGCACTCAAAAGCTTTAAAACAACAGAGGTGTATAAGAGCATTTTTCAATGTTTGGGTCTTCTTTGATTACAATGGAAAATTTGTCCAGACTGAATTCCTATGTAGTAACAAGTGTACATGTAGCATACTGTCCCTATATAATACATGTGGTACATATTTCTTTATACTTTCAAAGTGCTTTGGAAATCATCATCCCCACCTATAAGTTGAGATTCACTGATAAGGGAACTACTTGTTACAATGGATTCCAGCAATTCAAACTTCAAAACTAATATGAACTTTGTATAAACTTACTAATTGACATAACAGTTGCACCTATTTCTTACGATGACATTCAATTCAGACCGTTAAAGTTTGATATAATAATCATAAAGGATCCACAAACCGTAAACATTACTAAATCTTAATCCATGAACACAAGACTCACCACACTGAGGCCTTGCAGCTCTCCAGAGTCCTACGAGACCATTAGCTTCCCTGCACTGTTGGGCATACTCCTGGAGTGCAGGACAGATGATGTCACTGCCAGGATCAGTGTGGCACAGGTCATAGATGCAGGCCTCGTAGTAATCCTTGGGATCAACATAGTCAAAGCAGTTCCCAAGAGGACCTGCAAAAGAAATTGGAAGATCAACTATACTGTAAACCTCTGTGTATAAGACGCACCTTTTTTTCCACCGGAAAAATTTGAAAGTCGGGGGTTAAGTCACAGTAGGATAATGAACAAGACTTGTCAAGTTCATTGTGACTTGACCAAGTGCAGTGCATATCACTAATACACAAGCTAAAACATGAAGTATTTGTTTTATAAGATGGGTCTACAATAAGAGTATATAAAGTTGAGAAATTGACGGTTGTTATCACCAAAAAGCACTCCCTGTGCATATGGTAAAAATTAATGCACGCACAAATGATCTATATTGACGCTTCTCATAATTGGCTACTTTCTTGAACCCATTTAATAAATTATCCTATTGACTACAAACTTCTCTAATTTCCCTACACTTCATCCAGTACGTGACCAACATGGTTCAAGTAGAAAATGGGTTAACATTATATTTTAACTCACCATCCGGATCAATGAAAATGTAGCAAATATCTCTGATTTCTTGGTCGAGCTCCTCATCATCCTCACATTGATCAATAGGATCGGTGATTGTGGTGTCACATTCACCCGCATTCTGCACCCAGCTGTTCCCAAACACATTCACATACTCGGTCTACAAACAAAATATAACGGTAAATCAACCATCGATCATCTAAAATACATGAATATGGTGCCGCCGAATTTACAAACATACATCAAGGTGAGATTTCATGACATATAAATTTTCATTTGGGTTCCCTTTTGCATGCTCAAAATGGACAAACTATACATCATAAAATCTAAGTTATACCATTCATAAAAAGACAAACTGCCAATAGTTCAAACATAATAGATTCACCCTCAGAATTATTGGTGAATTGGCATATGCTCAAGCAACAATTGCTCAAAACTTTATTCCTCAAAGTTTTAAGTTAGCGTAAGGATTGAAATTGGGTTTTAGAATAGGTATAGGGTTAGGTAAGATACATAAATAGTGTTTGGTTCAGAGTTGAAAGTGAGTATTTGGGGAGTGTAGGATATTGATCATAGAACAATTGTCACCAGAGCATGTGTCGCAAAACTGAATCAACTAATACATTCCTTGCATACATTGACCTGCCATTTCCCATTTCTAATAACATCTTACATTTTTACATGGTACATTTTAGTAGGAATTGATTGATATAGTTCACAACATTCTTCCTATTCCAAGAAACAAGTCCAATTTCCAAAAAAATGAGTCCCATTCTATTAAAGAATTCTACAATCACTCACTTTAGTGCCGTCAGGAAGTCTGAAATCATTGTCTCTATCGTCATCAAAGGTTCCACACAGACCACACGTGGCATTCCAGTACTCAAAAGGCACCTGTATGTGGGCAGTGTCTTCGCCATCATAGCGAATGCTTACCCCAAAGTAGGTCTGAATCGTCTGTAAGAGAAAACAGAATTGATATCAAGAGCCTCTTGAAGAGGGACCAAAGCAGGACATCTTAAAGAAATTTAGTCACGAAAATGTACCAATTTCTTAAAAGTACCTGTACCTATCCTCATCCCCTTCCAAAGAATCGTTATCATGTGCACAACATATCTGACACCTGGTTAAACGTTTATGTTTGTTAGGCAAGAGTTTTTTTGTTACAGATAATCATAACTTTTTGGGGAGATGTTTTCCATATGGTAAAAATAACCTTGCCAATCCTACAAAATAATTCATTTTTAATGAATCAATATCATAGATTTCTATTGACAGATCTATTAACAGACCAAATTTTCATCCTTATTTATCTTTAATAAAGGTAATTGAATATACTTAAGATTTTACTCACAGTATATTTGACACCCGACCTAATAAGCACACCATTGGAGTCTATCACGGGCGAGTTCCTGCGCTCCCCATTCCGATAGATGATGTTGCCCCTGGATACCGAGTAGACAGTTCCATTGACCTCCAGGCTAATATGCCTCATGAGGGACACCGTGCTGGAGGGGACATCCTTGACATTGTCCCCCCAGATGTGAAAATCGACCATTCCAGGCTGGTTGGAGCACGGCCTGACTAGGGTATACTCACAGTCACCCTGGAAGTCGTACTTGACATTGTCAAAGGTGATGTAATGGGGATCTCCCCAAATTGTGCACGTGCCAGGCTCTGTTGGTGATGAATAAGAGGCAAAATTTTGACTAAAATATATATGTAAATTAATTCTTAGACATTTGAATTATTGAAAACCAAAGTATCCTCAGTACAGTAATGCAAGTTTTTTGTTTTAATGAACAGTATGACAAGAAATGATAAGGCTAGTACTTGCAAAAGAAGTTGACAACAAAATATTTCATGAGACAATTTTCTATTAAAATTCTCACACACATACGGTAATACAAATTTTGATTGCATGCAAAGCAAAACATACAAGCACAGATCTACTTGTGTACAATAATATGAACTATCTGTGACTGGAATGTGAAACTTGCCACTGAATTGCAAAGGAAATCTCAAGTTCAATTATGGTGTAAGATTTTGGAAAGATTAAACCTTTATTCACATCTTATAAATGCTGGAGAGACAAGAAAGACAAAAGTAGCATCAACAACACAGAATGCCTCTTATACTGAATGACTGTCAAGCAGAAGAGTGTTAACTGTAGGCAAACTGCTGTTAATTGAAGGTGATACAAAGGTTTGGTACGGGGTCATGAATTTGGTTCAAATGAACACATTGGAGGCATATATGATCCTACAATATTCAGTGATCGTTATCGCAGTTAAAATAGAGTCTAAAGCTATGCGCTGAAATTGTAAATAATAAACTCTTTATGTTGAATAGCTCCCTCTCAAGGTCAAGATATTAATTAAGCTATAAAACAATGTTTCTTGACTACAATCAACCAATTAGCTATTCCCGTTTGGAAATTATATATCACAACTACATATTCTGAGATTTTCATGGTCGCAGCTACCATTGTATGGCCGTAGGCGCTATTTGAAATTCATCAAAATTTACCGGGAGCGCCTGTGAATTTCATATTCAATTTTTCTCAAAAGCAGAAGTGTTTTAGGGGCTAAACTTTTTAGTGTTTATAATACATCCACAGGGGCATCAAAATATATCAAAATTGTAAAGAATCACTATCCAGCCAATTTTCAAATTTCCCCAAACTTGTATTACCTTTAATGTAAAATATGATTTTATCACTGACCTCTGACACACTGTTCGCCATCATAAGTAAACTTGTCAAGGCAGTAGCAATCCCTGACATTGCCTTTGAGTCGACACTCCTGATATTCCCTGCATCCATAAGCTACACACTCGGCCACACCCCCTGTGCAGCGACACGATTGAGAGCAGTCATCGTTGATCCACATCATCCCAGCCTGCAAAGATCAAAGACCATGGATGAGTTGATTTATTCTAATAATAAAGTATTCTTATAAGATTGTTTTAAAATGTTGGAACAACCATTCTTTGGATTAATTGAAGATTGAGGCTACAAATACATTATATATTTTACCTTATATGAATTAATTGTTTATGTCACACACAAAAATGAATGAATTCATTACAAGGTTTATTAAAAATATGAATTAAATTTGTTGATAAAATAAGACATACCAAGAGAACCCTCGAAGTTTTCAAAGATAGTTGAAGAAAAAACTCTGTTGTGATGACAATTTGACCCCAGTGAAATCAGAAAAATAAAAAAAACTTATCAACGATTCCTGAAGAAAATTTGATACAGGATAGAAAAGTGAAGATATATATAACGTAATCACTGATCACAAATAACGTTAAACTGCTATCATAGCAAACTGGATCCCAAGGTGGAATTCTTCTCTATAATTATACTCTCATCATTCCTCCCTGTAATACATCTAGGATACGATCATACAGTTTTTTTCTTGTTTTTTGTTCAAATCACAAATTTCATCACATCATGAAAGAGAGATATTATCCAACCATGCTCGTATTTGGATAGAAGATAGAAGGCTCCATGTACTCACCGATATGTAGCTCCCATCTGGGAGAGTGCATCCACAGTTCTCTGGTTCCACACATTGCCCACCATCATCCAGCTGTCCCTCAGGGCAGCTGCAGGTCTCATGGCAGGGCAGGGTGCAGTTCAGTTCAGCCTCAGGCTCGGCACAGCTCGGCTGGCAGGCGCTCCCACATGGTTGGTAGGTCTTGTCGCTGGGACACTCAAAAGCTGCAGTGGATGAATTCAAGGATGCAATTAATTATTAAAGCTTGATTATAAAAGAACTTTCTCTACTTTCATGTTGACCTGGGACCAGTTTCACAAAGCCTTTTTGACCAATGACCAATGGAAAAAATCAGTGTCAAATCTGTTGATAACCAATCAGAAGCAAAGATTTCAGTAGCTTATAACAAAAACTGTAATTTGTCATTGATGACAAGTTTTGTGAAACGCCCCCCAGGATTGAAATTGAATGTTAGGAAGCTATTCTTGTGTAGATAAAACATCAGAGAAGGGTCATAAGATAGATGACAACATGGGTTCAATTCGATAGTCATACAGGTATCTTAATACATCAGAGACTGCCAAACCTTACTAATGAAGATGCCAAAGATTGAAATGCATGAACTAGAGTAATGAATGAAACGTCCATCCCCCTCCACAGTGGAAAAAAAGGAAAAAAGACATGAAATGATTTTGTTCTAATCTCTGTCATTGATTTAGCTCTTTCCATTACAAACAAAACAAATCAAATAATAGTATGCGTACAAAAATTCAATAAATATACAGCAACCTCATATCAAAATAGGGTTCTAAGAGATGTATAGATAGGGAAATAATAAACAAAATTAAGCTGGAGGCAAGAACTAAAACAAAATGAATATTTCAAATTATGAGAAACGAAGTCGAAAGCATTCAAAGTAAATATTATTTTTGTTTTCGAGAATAAAACAATGTATACATGAAATGATGATGATTATGAAAACACTGTTCATCTCAAAATTCATTTCCCAAATAGTCCTATATTTGATTTGCACATTTAAAAAAAATGGGCATTTAGTGTAGATCATGGCATAATGTTGGTCAGAATAAAATGTGTCGAAAACCCATGTAAAACAAAGGCTTAGGCCTATTATTTATGGCTCAGTTGATAATCGGCCGAGCTTTAGCAGACGACAATCATTGACAATGGTGAAATGAAAGGAGGTATCGACCGATCTGCGCGTGCGGAGGTGCTTACGCAATTTGTATTGTGAGTGTATTGAAAAGGAAAGACGTGAAGCTTCAGCAAAATAAGACGGCAATTCCCCTCAAAAATAACAGACCTTATTTTTTTGTATTGACAAACAAAACTTATATTTTTAGAAAGGAAAAAGTCTGATCTTTCATTTTTAAATTTACTAAAAATCACGAAAATGACTGACTGAGGCGCAATGAGCAATGAAAGTAGAGAGCACCGCCAAATTTTCCATAACAGGTGATGTAACCGAAATCGCTCCGTCACAGGGGAAACAATCGCCGTTCGCGGGCTCGCACTCAAAGGGTTAAAGAGGGGTTACTGACTTTCACACCATGATGACACTCCCTCAACTTATTTTTTTTTCATTTAGACCAACCTCTTTCTGCTTTCTTTCTTAACCATATCTTTCCATGAAATATTCGGTCTTCCTTTCCCCCTTATGCCATCAACTTCCAGATCCCATGCTCTTTTCAAAGAAAAGTGACAACAATTGTTCCTTGCTGGTTTCTGTTCCCAATTAAATGATATAAAAACTGAGGTATGACACAATTAGACTTACGACACTGTAGGACCCCTTCTCTCCAATTTCCGATGATGCCGTTAGCTTCCCTGCACTGTTGGACGTACTCCTGCAAGGCTCCGCAAATTATGTCATTACCAGGATCAGTGTAGCAGAGGTCATAGATACAAGCATCATAGTAGGCATCCTCATTCACAAATTCAAGACAGTCACCAAGAGGTCCTGAAGAAAACAGAGTGTTTATGCAACATTGATTATCGTGAATATTTTGATGGTGCATGTACATGTATGTATGTAGTGACAAATACAGGGTGGACAAAAATCGAATGAGTTGGATTGAATCAAATCAACAGTTCAGGATTTAGCTAGAAATCAAATGTAAGGAGTTTAGCTGAAATTTAATTGGATTGAATCTACATTCAAGGATAGATCTAAAAGGATTAGTCATAATAGAACTAAAGCTTAGCTCCCTCATTCCGCTGGAGAAACTTCTTCCAGCTTATATCCAAACTTTAAAGAAGCTATTCTTTCATGATTTTTAGGAGCCTACTTCATTTTGCATCACTAACCTGTTGAGATCTTCAATACAAAAAATGAAAAGTGGGATAATGTAATATAATTTTATAATTTTGAATAAATGTGTCTTAAGACAAGATTTGAATTGGTTGACAGTCTGACAGTTTTTGACATGTAAAGATGATTTGTTACAAAGCTCAGCAGAAGCTTTGCTAAAAGAGCGATGACCATAAGAAAAAGAGTTGACACCGAAGTAGACACAAGGTTTAATTACACATATATGAATGAAGATCCTTTCCAAAAATAATTCACAAGAGAATCATTGAACATCACAACATTTGATTGAAAAACTGTTAATGGCTACTATGTCAACACAACCACACACAATCTTTAATACTGTACCTTCAGGATTGATAAAGACGTAGCAGATATCTTCCACCAACGTTTTGATAGCAGAGTCTTCCTCACATCTGTCAACTGGTCTTTCTATACCGGTTTCGCACTCGTATGCATCAAGGACCCAGTTATTGCCAAACACATTTTCATATGGTGTCTGCATGAGCAAAAAAAGAGCACATTCACATAAACAAAGCACAGTCAAATATGTATTTCAAAGAGGAAACATGAATTGGGGATTTCAAAGTTCGTCAAAATATTTGGTTTAGGCCTACATCAGAACATGACAATTCAGATAAATTCACTATTAAATGTAATCATTTATAATCCATTCTGAAGACCAATATCACATCATAATGCAAAGTGAAAGACAGCACACTAGTAGTAAAAGTCTTTCCTCAGGAATTTTGAAATGATTAAAGGTAAAGACCAGTACTGGAAACGCCCCAATTTCAAAAAATGAAATGGAAGCTCTCTTTACCAATCATGTGAAAGAATATGTTTTGACTAATACATGATGATAAAAAATTTGCCAGGAAACCGCCTACTAATTCATATATTTGGTAAATTTGTTTCTCTCATGGCCTGTGAGAGATATAGGGTAGTCCCATATACATCTTTCTGTGTATAGTGCTTGTAACTTTACGAATAATGGGCCAAATTTCTTATCATTTTGATGATTCCAGAACCTTGCAGATGCTAGATGCTAGATGATCAACCTTTTCTGATCGATTCCACAACGTTTCTTTCACAATGCAATCGCATGACCATAACTGGTCTTTACCTTTAACCGCATTTCTTATCATAAACAGAATGATCCCCAACAGCATTAGGATTTTGGGGAGAAAGCCTGCAGCTCTTGGTATAGCACATTACTAAAAGTTCATTAGAAGCTATATGACAGTCAATAATGAGTAACTTATGGTATTGCTTGTCACAAAATGATCATAAGAAATTAAGCTAGACTGATTGGTGAAAAATTAACCTCAAATATTATTGATTATAGGGCCAAAAGTTATCTTAAAGAGTTTTCCTTGCTAGGGAATAAATAATTTAATTTCTTATGTCATTTTCATGTATTTACAAAGCTCTACTCACCAGACTGCCATCTTGTAATCTGAACTCATTGGTCTTGTCATCATCAAAGGTTCCACAGAGTCCACAAGTAGCATTCCAGTAGTTGTAGGATACCTCAATATTAGCAGTTTCGGAACCATCATACCGCACATTCAGTCCAAAATTAGTCTCAATGGTCTAGGATACAACAAATTAAGAAAAAAACACCTCATATTATAAATAACTGTCATTTAACTAGTTAACTTTATAATAACATATTGTCTCTTTGTCTCTCCTTAAGTAAATAAGCACAACTTTGCTTAACTATTTTTAATGTTTTATTTTTTTACAAAGATATGATCATTTGATAAGGTGCTTGTACCTGTAGGGAGATATATATTGAATAGTTAGGTCCCTAAGATGGTAGCTCAGCTAGAGAATGAGTAATTACTTTGTCCCAGTGCTTTATATATGAATACAACTATTACCATAATCATGATTGTGTCATACTGAATAGTTCAGAAAGAAGGATAAATTAAACTTACAGTACGCAGTAACCTCACTCTGAAATAATATACTCATTGCATAAAGACAGATGCTTCTTACCGAATAGGAGCTATCCGAACGTATCATGATGCCATTGTTCATCCTGATGGGCGCTATCCTCCTGGCTCCATTCACTAGGATCTCACGGTTCCTCGTGATGGCAATGCTGGTGCCGTTCACCTCAAGCACAATCTTCCGCAAGTAGGAAACCCCCTCGGAGGGCTTGTTCTTCACGTTGTCACCCCAGAGGTGAAAGTCGACGAGGTCCGTACGATCAGTGCATGGTCTTACCAGGGTGTACTCACAGTCTCCTTGGAAGTTGTAGTTAACGTTGTCAAAGGTGACGTAGTGAGGGTCACCCCAAACAGTGCATACTCCAGGAGCTGCATCAAAGAAGAAAAAATATGAAGGTCTCATAATATCTCTGCACTGGTTTGTATTTCTTAATTTCATCACACTTGATGCTTGAAATAAGATTTTGCACTGCTATTTGCCACGATTATCAATTTGGGATTACGTTTCAAAATTAATAACCATGAAAATTTTTGTGCAAAACCGTGACAGTCTGGGTTATTTCAGAATATGATTACAATGTAAGTTTTCTTGCCAAAGCATATTAAGACAGATGTGAACTTACAGAAGAATTAGAGGCACAATTCTGACTCAAATATATGTAAATTAATTCTTAGATATATGAATTATTTAAAACCCAAGTATTCAAAGTACAGTAATGCAAGTTGTTTGTTATTATTGAAGAGTATGAAAAGAAATGATAAATATTAAGGCTCGAACGTGCAAAAGAAGTTGACAACGAAAACTATCATAAAACCATTTTCTAATCAAATTCTCACACACATACAGTAATACAAATTTTGATCGCATGCAAGGCACATACATGTATGTGTACCCCTATATCAGACTGGTGACTAGAATGTGAAAATTGCCACTAAATTGCAAAGGAAAGTCTCAAGTTCAATTATGGTGTAAGATTTGTGGAAAGATTGAACCTTTATTCATATCTTTTAAATGCTGGAGAGACAAGATAGACAAAAGTAGCAGTAACAAAACAGAATGCCCCATATGCTGAACAACTGCCAAGCAGAAGAGTGTTAAAGATAAAGTTGAGTTCTGGTCATGCGCTTGCATTGTGAAAGAAACGTTGTGGAATCCATCAGAATAGGTTGATCATTTGGCATATAATTATTGGTGTCTACTGGAAGATTCTGGAATTTTCAAAATGATAAGAAATAGGCCCAGTCTTGGTAAAGTTACAGGCTTTGTACAAACAAAGATGTATATGGGAATACAAGAAAATGGGGCGAAAAAATCTGTCCCGCTTTTTTTCTGCTGTTACATGCTATATCTAGAATATTAAGGCAATTGAAGAGCCATGCTTTTCAGGGAACGTTTTTAATATGATGTTCTTCTATACTTGCATAATAACAATGATAACGCTCACAAATTTTTTTTCACCTCTTCCCAGAACTCAACCTTCTCTTTAACTGTAGGCAAACTGCCATTAATTAATGTAGAGTATAATCATATCACTGACCTCTGACACACTGTTCACCATCATAAGTAAACTTGTCAATGCAGTAGCAATCCCTGACATTGCCTTTGAGTCGACACTCCTGATAATCCCTGCACCCATAAGGTACACACTCGGCCACACCTCCTGCGCAGCTACACGATTGAGAGCAGTCATCGTTGATCCACATCATCCCAGCCTGCAAAGATCAAAGACCATGGATAATATAATAATAATAATACTCCGCTTTTACATAGTGCTTTAAGATAAAGAGCAGTTTTGGAAATGCCCCTCTCTAAAAAATGAAATGGTCTTTATCTTTAATGCAAATGTCTCTAAGCGCTTTACAGATATACTATTACCCCAGCATTGGATTCCATTCTTGCCCGCACACACTGTGCACACAATCTCCACTCCCTGGGGAGCATTCAAGCCAGGCGTTACTTGATGCTCAAAACCTGTTTGACCAACAATGACGGTCGCATCCTACCGGGTACCCACTTAACACCTGGGTGGAGATTATTCTAATAATAAAGTATTCTTCATGAATTTCTTTAAAAATGTGGTCCATGGAACAATCATTCTTTGAATTAGAATTAGATTGAGGCTTGAAATACATTATATATTACCTTATATAAATGATTTGATTATGTCACAAAATATTGAATAAATTAATTACAAGGTAAAAAAAAAGAATTAAATTTCTTGACAAAATAAGACATACAAAGAGAACTCTCAAAGCTTTCAAAGATAGTTGAAGAAAAACTCTGTTCTGATGACAATTTGACTCCAGTAAAATCAGAAAAATAAAAAAAAATCAGCGAATTCTGAAGAAAATTTGATACAGGATAAAAATGTAGAGATATTCATGTATGTAATGTAATCGCTGATAAAAAAGTAAGCATAAAACTGCTATCAAAGCAGGTGGAATCCTTCTGTATAATTATACTCTCATCATTCCTCCCTTACATCTAGGATACGGTCATAAAGTTTATTTCTGTTTTCTGTTCAAATCCCAGATTTCATCACATCATGAGAGAGAGATATTATCCAACCATGCTCGTATTTGGAAGTAGCGGTACACTTCCCTGCTCGGACTCATTCGGTAGAAGGTTCCGTCCACTCACCGATATGTAGCTCCCATCTGGAAGAGTACATCCACAGTTCTCTGGTTCCACACATCGCCCACCATCATCCAGCTGTCCCTCAGGGCAGCTGCAGGTCTCATGGCAGGGTAGGGTGCAGTTCAGGTCAGCCTCAGGCTCGGCACAGCTCGGCTGGCAGGCGCTCCCACATGACTGGTAGGTCTTGTCGCTGGGACACTCAAAAGCTGCGGTGGATGAATTCAAGAATGGAATTAATTATTAAAGCTTGATTATAAAAGAACTTTCTCTACTTTCATTCATTTTGACCTGGATTAAAATGGAATATTAGGAATCTACTCTAGTGTAGATACAAAATTCAGAGAATGGTAATAAGAAAGATGACAACATGAATTGTACTTAATAATCATGCAGGCATCTTAATATATCTGAGACTGCCAAACCTTTAAATGTAGATGCTAAAGATTGAAATGCATGAACTAGAGTTATGAAGGAGACATCCCACTCCACAGTGGAAACAAAAGAAAAAAAGACATGAAATAGAAAATATGATCAAATAGTGACGATAAATAATTAATTTTGAATCACAGAGAGTATTCTTAAGCTGTTGTACAAACGTTATCTTCATCGTCATTTAATAAAGTCTGCATTTTGCCTCTTACGAGGGGGTTACTAGCTTTCACACCATGTTGACAGTCCGTCAACTTCTTTTTTTCCATGAGCATCTCTTTGTTTAGACCGCCCTCACTGCTTTCTTTCTTAACCATATCTTTCCATGAAATATTTGGTGTTCCTTTCCCCCTTATGCCATCGACTTCTAGATCCCATGCTCTTTTCAAAGAAAATTGACAACAGTTGTGCCTTGCCGGTTCCTGTTCCCAATTAAATGGTGTAAAAATGAGGTATGACGAAATTGACTTACGACACTGTAGGACCCCTTCTCTCCAATTTCCGATGATGCCGTTAGCTTCCCTGCACTGCTGGACGTACTCCTGCAAGGCTCCGCAAATGATGTCATTACCAGGATCAGTATAGCAGAGGTCATAGATGCAAGCATCATAGTAGGCATCCTCATTCACAAAGTCAAGACAGTCACCAAGAGGTCCTGAAGGTCATGCAATGAAGGTCATTAATTATCTCATATATTTTGATAGGTACATGTATGTAGTGACTAAAACAGGGTGGACTAAAATTGAATGGGTTGCATTGAATCAAATCAACACTTCAGGAGTTTAGTTGGAATTTAATTGGATTGAATCTACATTCACAGATAGATCTAAAAAGATAAGTCACAATAGAAATTAAGCTTAGCTCCCTCATTTCACTGGAGAAACTTCTTCCAGCTTACATGTATATTCAAACTAAACAAAATTAAGGAGACTCCCTCATTTTGCATCACTAACCAGTTGAGATCTTCAATAAAAAAAAATATAAAAAGTGGGATAATGTACACATACATGAATGATAAATATGGCATTTTGATCCTTTCAATGATAAATTCACGAGAGAATCATTGAATATGAAATTTATGTTGAATAAGAAAAATGTTAATACCTACAATGTCAACACAACCACACACAATCTTTAATACTGTACCTTCAGAATTGATAAAGACATAGCAGATATCTTCCACCAACATTTTGATAGCAGAGTCTTCCTCACATCTGTCAACTGGTCTTTCTATACCGGTTTCGCACTCGTATGCATCAAGGACCCAGTTATTGCCAAACACATTTTCATATGGTGTCTGCATGAGCAAAAAAAGAGCACATTCACATAAACAAAGCACAGTCAAATATGTATTTCAAAGAGGAAACATGAATTGGGGATTTCAAAGTTCGTCAAAATATTTGGTTTAGGCCTACATCAGAACATGACAATTCAGATAAATTCACTATTAAATGTAATCATTTATAATCCATTCTGAAGACCAATATCACATCATAATGCAAAGTGAAATACAGCACACCCTAGTAGTAAATGTCTTTCCTCAGGAATTTCGAAATGATAACCTGCATTTCTTATCATAAAATGTAACAGAATGATCCCAATCAGCATAAGGATTTTTTGGGAGAAGCCTGCAGCTCTTGGTATAGCACATCACTAAAAGTTTGTTAGAAGCTATAATAGTCAAGAATAAGTAATTTAATGTATTGCTTCCCACAAAATGATCATAAAAAATTAAGCTGGACTCATTGGTGAAAAATTAATCTCAAATATAATAATAACCTAATAGTCCACTCCAAATTTTATTAAATCGAAACGGAAATTCTTTTTGCCCAATTGATCGTGAGCCCGGCAGCCACTGAGCAGCGCCAGATCGACGTTGCTCTATCCCTTATTGTGGAACGCCAAACAAGGTAGCAACAACTCCCATCTTTTAACGTCTTTTGGTATGACGCGGCCGGGGTTCGAACCCACGGCCTCCCGGTTGTGAGGCGGACGCTCTACTGACTGAGCCAACACTCCGGTATAATAATATAATATAATTGATTATAGGGCCAATAATAATCTTAAAAGAGCTTTCCTTGCTAGGGAATAAATAATAATTTCTTATGTCACTTCATGGAATCACTGCATGAAGCTCTACTCACCAGACTTCCATCTTGTAACCTGAACTCATTGGTACTGTCGTCATCAAAGGTACCGCAGAGTCCACATGTAGCATTCCAGTAGTCGTAAGATACCTCAATATTGGCAGTTTCGGAACCATCATACCGCACATTCAGTCCAAAATTAGTCTCAATGGTCTGGGATATAAAACAAATTAAAGAAATAAACACCTCATAACTGTCATGTAACCAGTTGACTTTATAACAAACATATTGTCTCTTTGTCTCTCCTCAAAATAATATAGCACCATTTTTTTAAAACTATTTTTAATCTAAACCATTATTTTTAGCAAAGATATATCGTTTGGTAAGGTGCTTGTACCTGTAGGGAGATATTTTTTGAATACTTAATTCCCTTAGATGGTAGCTAGAGAATTAGTAATTAGTTGTCTCAGTAATTTATATACTGGTATATAAATACAACTATTACTATCATCATAAATGTGTCATATTAAATAGTTCAGAAAGAAGGATGAATTAAACTTACAGCACGCAGAAACCTCACTCTGAAAAAGAATACTCATTGCATAAAGACAAATGCTTCTTACCGAGTAGGAGCTATCCGAACGTATCATGATGCCATTGTTCAACCTAACAGGTGCTATCCTCCTGGCTCCGTTCACTAGGATCTCACGGTTCCTCGTGATGGCAATGCTGGTGCCGTTCACCTCAAGCACAATCTTCCGCAGGTAAGAAACCCTCTCGGAGGGATTGTTCTTCACGTTGTCACCCCAGAGGTGGAAATCGACGAGGTCCATCCGGTCAGTGCATGGTCTGACCAGGGTGTACTCACAGTCTCCTTGGAAGTTGTGGTTACCGTTGTCAAAGGTGACGTAGTGAGGGTCACCCCAAACAGTGCATACTCCAGGAGCTGCATCAAGGATAAAAATATCAAGGTCTCATTATATCTATGCACTGTCTTGTCTTTCTTATCTCATCAAATCTGATTCTTGAACTAAGATTTTGCACTGCTATTTGCCACAATTATCCATTTGGGATTACGTTTTGAAATTAATAACCTTGAAAATATTTGTGCAAAACACATCCTGGGCTATTTCAGAATATGATTACAATGTAAGTTTTCTATGCAAAAGCATAAGTGAACTTAAGTATATTTCTTTCTATTAAAAAAAATAATGATGATCAATATACAAAGTACTAGAAGTATTAAATACAGTATAAGATCATAATCCTTCTAATAATGTAAAGAGGTATAATAAACACCATAGCTAATCCTAAGTTGTTAAAAAATGAAAATCAAGGTTCCATGCAAATTTCTCCAAAATTAATTTAAGAACAAAAAGAAAGTAGACAAACCTCTGACACATATATCTTCTTCATTACGAGTGAATCTATTGAAACAGAAGCAGTCTCTAACACCTCCTTTGATGACACATTCTTCAAACTCTCCACATTCTATGTCAGTACAGGTCAAAGTGATGCCCGTACAGGTGCAGCGCCGGTCGCAGGTATCACTGATCCATTCCGATCCAGACTACACATTAAAAAAAAGAAAAAATATAAAGTAAAACAATCAGATTTTTCCTCTACAGCATGGATGAAATTCACTTATAGTCTCTGTATTTTGCCCCTTTATGTTCCATGGGCAAAATAATCCAATAATATCTTTTTTTGTGATCCTCACCATCATCATCATCAAAATAATTAGTATCATTATTTGTACGAAAGGTATTAGGCAAACCAGAAAAATCAGCATATCACTTTTCAGCTTGTATAACTATGAACATGTCGAACAAAGCGGACAAAATATACAGTTCCTCAGGTAGACAAAAGAACATCCCTTCACTGCTATTATGTAAAAAGTGAATATGCATGTGACACCTGTTCTACACATTTTTACATAATAGCAGTGAAGGGATGTTCCTTTGTCTACCTGACGAACTGTATATTTTGTCCGCTTTCTTTGACAACAAGACTAATTATATAATAATTATGCATACATTGTGCACTTTCAAAATACATCCTAAATGCACTTTACAATCATGAATGTTATTTTAATGACAGATATTATGTCCGATTCTATACAAAAATAAGTAGAACTCGATATCGCACTCATCATTTTCTTGACAAAACTGAAGATATGATACTTCAAAGGTCACAACACATCTCACCTCCATGTGGATGTTCTCTCCACTGTAGAAGAAGTTGCACCCACACTCGTTGGGATCCACACACCGGTCCCCGTCCTCCACCAGCCCATCTGGGCAGACGCACCTGTCGTAGGAGGGGCGTGTGCAGGGTCCAGAGTTCTGGAACCCACAGGTCAGCTGGCATGCGCTCGCTCCTGTCTGGTAGACTTTACCACCGGTACAGGTGATTGCTAGAAACGAAGTAGAATGGAGGAACGAAAGTAATGAAGACATGACTATTAAGTCTGAGAACACTTTGAGTCTATTGGAAATGCATGCTAGGAATATAACAAAACAAAATGTCTTAAATGGGAGGTAACTGTATAAAGATATCCACATCTATTTCTATTTATTTGCGAAATTTAAATTTTCATCCATGCTTTATTAATATATGTGCATCAAATTCTTCTGCATTTAAACTTGAAATTGATTAAATGGTAGAAAACAAGCTTTTAAATATATCTCGATCTAGTATCAGATTATTAGTTTTAATAATACCCTTAATTTGTCATAATATCTTCTTGCAAGATACCAATAGCCTAAAATCACTCATAATTAGCCAATCAGAAAGACATGCACTTACTGAAATCAGAGTAAAATGCAAGAGTGAAATAACCCGACATTAAGTGATATTTGCAGGATCCAAAGGGGATATTAAAGCACAAAAAACATGCTTTTAAAGAAGAAAACGGATAAAAGTCAAGTCTTCTACTCACCACACTCAGGCACCTCTGACCTCCACTCTCCAAGGTCAATGCCCTCATCCATACAGATCAAGGCATATTCCTGAATGTAATCACATACGTCAAACCCAGGACCCAAGGCACAGGAATCATACACACAGTCCTCGTACAGATCACGGGGAGAGACAAAGTCGAAGCACCCAGACAGAGGACCTGTTGACACAGACAAATTATTTATGTTTAAAATTTGAAATGAATTCTAGTCGAAGAATTTAATGAGATGTGCCTAGTACTATCATTTAATATTTTTTGAAAATTTGTATTTTGTGTTTTGTATTTATTAGGTGATACGTAACGAAGTCTACGTATCACCTATTGATTTCGTCAAGATTTTCTTTTATTTTTTTATTTTTATTCTTCCTCGAATTTGTTCGCAGGATATCTCAAGACTGAATAAAGCCATTGTCATGAATCGTTCAATGATGATAGATCTTAGTCTAACTTAAAACTGCGTGATTTTTCAAAGACTCAAAGTCATCGTGACGTCATCCAGGCGCCATTTTGTAAAAATCAACTTATGATCATATCTTCATAACGGAAAGTAATTTTACATTCATATTTATCAAGATTAAGATCGATATCCGTCGGGTTAATTTGAGTTCAATAAATGCGCGCAAAAATGCGCGTACGCGTAGGCGCGCGCGTTAATGCGCGCGTAAAATTTTAAATTGCTCAAAATCGTCTTAAATTTTTTTTGCATACGTTTCAGGCCATTATAAGCATTTCATAAAAAATCACGCAAACCACGCATTTTTGCACGTTTTCGTTCGTCACGGCCGAACGAAGAATAATTTCTCCGCAAAAGCTTTTGACGGAATATTCCTCATATTTTTCCGGAAAATTTGATACCATGTTTAGCTCTTTATCACTATTAAAAACGGAATGAGCGTCTGTTCAAGATAACCGTCCGTACGCGCGATTTTTGTAATACATTGCATATATGGGCAAAAACATGCCTATGAAAAGTCCATTGGGATGAATAGGGATTGCCAATTTTTTTTTCATATTTAGATAGAGTATGAGTCGGAGGTATGATTTCATATCTCATTTGGCCATTAAGTACATCTTAACGTCATCATAATGGCCTTGGAAGTCAAAAATACAAAATTGCATATTATGACGTCATTGTATTTATGGAAAATGTAGTGTATTTCTCTCAATATTCATCGATTCTCTTTGAAATGTCGATATGTTGTAGATAAGGCAATTCTCTACAAGATCACTTTTCACTAAGTTTCATTTTAATGAGGTCATCATAGTACAAAATTCAATTAAAGGCCACATGTCAGAATTTTCGTCATTTGCGTGTTATGTCTATGGAAGGTGAATTTCGTTCACATCATGAATCTACATGGCATTCATCTATGAGCACTATCTATCTTATGTGTGCTCTGTTTTCTCCCAAATTGGGGTATGTTATAGCTGAGACCATGGGCTATAAAAACGGTGTACTTTGTTTTTCGATCAGATGTTGGGATCATATCGAAATTTTCAATCGAAAGTTGAAATTGCAAATTTTGAAGGAATCATTAGGTGATGTGTACGAAGTATACGTATCATTAGGTGATACGTAACGAAGTCTACGTATCACCTATTGATTTCGTCAAGATTTTCTTTTTAGGTGATACGTACGTAGACGTATCACCTTTTGATTTCGTCAAGATTTTTATTATTTATTTATTTATTTATTATTATTTATTATTATTCTTCCTCGAATTTGTTCGCAGGATATCTCAAGACTGAATAAAGCCATTATCATGAAACTTGCCATGATGATAGATCTTAGTCTAACTTAGAACTGCGTGACTTTTTAGAGAGTCGAAATTATCGTGACGTCATCCAGGCGCCATTTTGTGAAAATCAACTAATGATCATATCTTCATAACGGAAAAGTATTTCTCATTCATAATTATCACGATTAAGATAAATATCCGTCCGGTCAAGTTGAGGTCAATAAAAGCGCGCAAATGCGCGCGTGTACGTTCGTCTGCGCGTTTACGCGCGCGCAAAAATTTAAAATGCTCCAAATCATCCCAAATTTTTTTTGCATACGTTTCAGGCCATATGGAGCAGTTGATAAAAAAATTACGCACACGCGCATGCGCGCGCGTTTTCGCGCGTACTGGCATTTTGCAACATAGAATCGCCGATTTTTTTCTGTCATCATATTCGGTACATTTTTCCAAGAATTTTGATAATTTGTTCACCTTTTATTAACGCAATGAGCGTCCGTCAAAGTTGACAGCACGCGCGGATTTGCGTTATCTTTATCCACAATACATGGGCAAAAACATGCCTATACAAAGTTCATTGTAACTCTTTAGAATAGATAGAAACTCCTAATATTTTTCCATATTTAGATAGATTATGAGTCGGAAATATGATTTCATGTCTCATTTTATCCTCAATTAACTCATGACGTCATCATAATGGCCTCCAAACTCAAAATTTCAATTTGCATATTATGACGTCAGCATATTTTTGGAAAATTGATTGTATCTCTGTAAATATGGATCAATTTTCTTTTTAATTTTGATATGTTCTAGCTGAGACAATTTTCTACAAATGTGGTGTTCACAATTTTTATTTTTGACAAAAGTATCATGGTGTATTTTTGCGATTAAAGGAGGCATGTCAATTTTTTGCATTTTGCGTGTATTCTCTATGGGACATGACTTTTTCTCAAAACTGGATTCTACACTCCTGTCTTTCGCGAGCAAAATCTCCGTTGTTTTAGCTTTGTTTTCGCTGAGCTTTGGATATGTTGTAGCTGAGACAATGAGCTATCACAAATGTGCCCCTTATTTTTCGATTAGAAGCCGGGGTCATGCTCATATTTCACTTGCAAAGTAGGATTTCAGAATTTCATTTCCCGTTTACGTGTAATCGCTATGGGAGATGTTTTGGTATATCGGTAACGCACTTGACTTCCAACCTCGAGATCCTTGGTTCGAGTCCGGGTGTCTCCAACACTTTTTTTTTTCACTTTTTTTTCCTTTTGACCTTCACTGTACCATCTCCTTTGATTATTTAAACACGTAGATTCGCAAATAATGTTATAAATAACCCTTTTTACTTTATTATTACCCTATTTTCACTTAATCCATTACTTTTTGCGTGTAATCCCTATGGGAGATGACTTTTTCTAAAATCTGGAGTCTACATTCCTGTCTTTTGCGAGCAATATCGCCGTTATTTCGGCTTGGATTTTGTTGATTTTTTAGTATGTTGTAGCTGAGACTATATGCTATCTATATCAACCCTCATTTTTTCAATAAGATGTCATGATCGCGCTCATGATCATGATCATGATCATCATGATCATCATAATCATAATGATGATAATCATTTATCAATTACATTTTCATTTCTTTGAATTAGATAAAAATCGTCAAAAGGTGTTCTTCATGATGTAAATTAGAGTCAAATGTGTAACTGGTTACTGCACAGGGTCAAAGGTCATATATTGTTTCAATCTATCTTCCCTAGATCCATGATGATCAAGGAGACACAATTTAATCTTGACATATGAATAGATCATAATGGGAGAAGCATATGAATGGGAGAAGCATTTTACAAAATAATATATCGTGTAATGCATTATTCGTTATGTAGACCATTATCATACGTATCACCTAATTCGTCTAAGTGACGAATTAAAGTCTAGTTAACATTTATTTCCTTCTAACGGTACAATATGAAACACAATGTTTATATAAATTATATATGTAACAATGATTTCAACTTGCAGTATACAGTAAATAATTCAGATAACAGAAGGAATGAAATGATCACAAAGGTACGGTACCAAAGATACACGATACATGGCAAATATGAACTTGTTTTTTCCAACTTTTATAATGAATTCATGAACAGGTCAGGGATATCATTTGATTTTACCAATTTAACCTAAAAAGGGACCCCACAATCCACTATTGGAATGCTATTCTGTTCTGTACATTAGACGTACAAGTAAACAAATATTTTTTAAAGAGGTTACAGGACCTGGAAGCAGGGGGGAATCCAGAGAACTGGCATCCTTGAGTGGTGTCATGACGGACACACAGACCACTTCAGTGTGAATTGTCTCATTACTGTTCATGCATTTACAACCCTTTTCAAATACAAGATCAAACTAGTCTTGTACATTGAACCTCTGCAGATACATGTAACTGTATTATTTTTCTGGATTTATTTGTAAAAATCACTAAAGGCATATGGCAGACTTACTATCTGGGTAGCTGAATATGTAACACAGGTCGAGAGCTTCCTCATATGTTTCTCCTTCACACACAGGTGGCTCAGGGGATTCCCCATTGCAGGATGAGGGGTTAATGACCCAATCCTGGATGAAGACTGTCATGTATGGTGTCTGAACAGACAGAGAGGGTGAGTGAGAGGGAGGGGGAATGAGAAAGTCCATATCTTTAATGTGGTCATCCAAACAGAAACATAAACAAGTGAAAGAATGTCAGGGATTGCACTAATAACTTGGATACACATACATGTACATGTACCTGTACATGCATGTGCATGCGCATGTTCATACTAACAAACATTAGTTACAGGTATTAAAGAACTGTAGAACAACTAACCCCTGGATCACACCTCTGGAGAGCTACTCCCATAACACATCTCTAGGATAACTGTTCCCCAGGACAAATAACTGCTATGGCAACTACCCCTTGGCTTGGGCAACTGTCTAGGGCAGGCCTTCTCAACTTGCGGCGCGCGCGCCACTTGTGGCGCTTGCGGTCAGTCGGAGTGGCGCGCGACTGTTGCAACAACAAAACAAATAACAGAAAGAAAGAAAATATATATTTTAGAATCAAATACTCAGCTAAATCATGAAGTTGCAGTCGAATTTGGTCCCAAAATGCCTGCTTAACAAACAAGAAGAAAGGCCGGGGAATTTATTGTTTTTTACCATTTTATACGAATCTAAGCCTAAGTTCTGAACAACAATTAGCTTACGATGAGATACCAATTTTAACATTGCCAATCTCTGGAAACATCTTGTTTTTTTTGGTTTGATTTTCACTTTATTTTGACATTTCCTTTGTTTATTGCACACAAAACACTACATATAAATATACCTCCAGTGTAATTGTACCCAGGAATTGTACTAATTTTGTCACATCAATATGAAATTATGATTGATTATATTGTGGAATGAACTGGTGCTAAAAATGCCCCATTATAGGGCCTTTACAAAGCCCTAAATCCAGTTTCAGGGGGCTCTGCCCCCTGCTACCCCCGTTAGGGCTTCGCCCCTGGACCCCAACCATTTTCGGCTCGGTCGCTACGCTCCCTCGCAGCACAGTCAACCATACAGGGTGGCACTTCAACTACAAATTGTTTTCGTTTTGGCACTTCTAATAAACTAGTTGAGAAGGCCTGGTCTAGGGGTTATAATAAACATGTAGATTATCACTCTGGAGGGTAATTTTCTCCTCAGGGAATAAATGTCTTAGGAGTAATTGCAGGGGGTAATAACAGGTGGTAGTTGTACAGAGAACTAGTTTTCATTGGGGCAGTTTCTATTTATATCATTAATTTATTCTGGGGCATTGTCAAAGCAGTAAATTATCCTAGAGGAGTAGTTTTCCAGAGGGCTGGCGGAGTTGCAGGGGTGTACAGTCCTGAAATTGTATCTGAGTAGTGAACATCAAGAAGCTCATGATCCATCAGTGACAAGTCTTTCCTGTCTATCAGTTCACCAACCCGTTGAACTTTACGAAAACGTTCTCCTTACCTGAGACCCGTCTAGTCGTCTGTACTCGTTGCTATCATCACCATCGAAGGTACCACATAGACCACAGGTCTTGGTCCAGTAATCATAGCTCAGATCTATGTCTGCTGTATGCTTCCCATCATAAACCACTTGCAATCCAAAAGAGGTCACCAAGAACTGTCCAAAAGATAATGGACATGACAAAGTGATTGTTATTGATACACAAACAAAACAGACCTTTTCTGTGGTGATAGCTCATATTAGGCCTCGTCTTCATTTTATATTGTATTTCAGAGCATAGTTTGTAATAACCTTAAACTTGCAAGTCATAAGAATGACAGCTCCTTCCAAAAATAATCCGCAAAATGAGCTTTGATGTTAAAGAATCAAAATGCTCTACCATTTTCTTTGATCAAATGATTTTAGATATACACTTGATTTTGTTATAAATTTAGGAAAATGAATGTATAAAGTGAATATACAGTACAAAACAAGAAGCTGAGATACTGTGATATCTGAAGAGAGTTGAGAAGCTGCCAGAAATGTGGCAAGTAAGCTAAACTACAAAATTGACAGCACCAGCATTCTGACGAGGAATAAACTTCAACCCTTCAAACTTACCGTGTACTGATTGTCCCACTGTATCCTGACATCACTGCCATAGCTGAACAGGGAACCTGACAGTCTCCTTCCGTTCACATACACCTCGTTCCCACTCTCCACACTGAACAGCGTCCCATTATACTCCAGAGTGAAGCCTCTCATGTAGGACACTCTATCAGAGGGGTTATTCTTCAGGTTGTTGCTCCACAGGTGGAAGTCCACAAGACTGCTATTCTCCTCCTTGTTGCAGGGTCTGATGAGGGTGTATTCACAATCCCCTTGGAAGTTGTACCTGTGATGGTCGAAGGTCTCGTAGTGGGGATCTCCTCTAACTATACAGTGTCCTGGCTCTATAAAAGGTTTAAAGATGAACTTAAGTAATGGAAAAGTGTGTATATAACCTTTCAAAATAGCAGATATTATTTCCTTGTACTGTGGTCTTTTCTGAGAATAATTCCTAAATGGTAACATGTAGGTGTTGACCTATCATTTTGAAGAAAAGAGGTTGTTGATAATACGTACATAAATAACTACTTTACTAGACTCTGGCCCCTTCAGCTTTTATCAAAGGCAATGTTTGTCTAACAATTCAATAGTAAATGTTAGTTGTTCCCCTTTCAATCCTTATTTTATATCCATTAAGGTTACTACACACAATTATTTCTTTGGAAACTTTTCTGTTCGATAAGGCCTCTTTTAGTACTTGCTCCAGATAAGCAAATACAATTCTATCCTTATAAACATGAACATAAAATAAGAAGAAAAATAATCTTTATACCTCTGATGCATTCCTGATTGTCGTCCCTAGAGTAATCCTCGAGACAGTAACAGTCTCTGACCCCTCTCTTGATGGCACACTCCTCGTTGGGTCCACATGATACGCTGGAAGAGGAACATTGAACGGACCCTGATCCTGTACAATTGCACTTTCTCCTGCAATCGTCGGTTGTCCATGTTTCATTAAGCTGATTACAGACAAGGAATATCATGTATTATATGACCATAAAAATGAGGTATATCAAGATATTATATGAATGCAATAAAGGCAATACTGAAGAAGGGTAAAGGCATAATTCCTGATATTTTTTTTTTTTTTTTTTTCAATATTTATTCCACATTTTACATAGAAAAACAGTCTATATTCTTTTTTTTATTTTTTTTTACACAAGTGTATATTATTATAAGAGTAGATTTCACACAAGAAGAAAAAATAAAAAAAATTAAAGATTTCAAATCAAATATAATGTACGGAAAATAAGTACGAAATTTCGAAATATGTAGATATATCGGGCAAGGTAGAACAATGTAAAATGTGGGGAGCCTAAATAAAAAGCATAGCTTGTATGTGAATAGGCTCCCATACTGAGTAACACAATAAAGTAGGTCTGTTTTTAAAAGATATTATAGGAGGCAAAAAACGGAGTAGTATAGTATGAGATTCTGGAGAGGTACAAGGAGAGTGAATTTGAGAAGAAAAGAAAAATAGAAATAAAGAGTAAAGAGAATAATATGATAATGATAAATAGGAGAAGGTGAAGAGGGGAAGAAAGAGGAAGACGAAAAAGAAAAGACCAAAGAAAAAATTCACCATTGCAGGTGATTGTAGTGTGTGTCATAGTATATCTGACTAGATCGTAAAAAGGTAAAATGCAAAATATTTACCACGTTCCTCTAAATCTGACATATGTGTAAAGTACTTTGTAAATTAATTTTTGTAATGAATTTCCAAAATTGGCAGGAGCATGAAAATACAAGACAAATTAAATTTCATCACATTTGTTTAAAAAATGAAAAACCTTAAAACCTTTCATCAAGTTCTATTGTCTCCTGCCAATCCAAAGAAATTAAACAATCATTTGGATTTCCTTTATCCATAGAATATGAAACAAACTTAATGAGGTAAAAATCCATATCAATTGACTTTTAACTAAAAAGCCACAAGCAACATTTCTTTTTTCCAGGGGATATAATAAAAAACTTTAGGACCAAGAAAAAAGTTACACAAACATCTACATGTACATCACGGGTCATAATCGACCGGTTTATTAACATATTCAAATCGTATGCGTACTGTTTGCCCAACATAGCAACAAGCAATGTATGCAGAATGGATTCCAATTATTGTAGTTCATTCATTAATAACAGGTTAATGCTATAGTCACAAAGGTTCGTACAAACGATAATTTTGTACGAATCTCCTTGTTTTTCCATTGTCTTCCCGAATTTCCATTGTCTGAAAATCGTTCGTACGGCATTCGTAGTAGTTCGTAATGGCATTTGTGACCGAGCCTTGATGGACACCTCATCATAAGTTACCCAGGAAAGAAACATTCATAAATCTGAATATGTTAGTCATAACCGATCTTTTGGCTGAGAGAATGAATAAGTGTGTATATACTCACCGAGCGGTATTCAGCATTTTCATCAAGACATCCACAGTCTTGAGATTCCACACACCTGTCACTATCTAATACCAGTCCCTCATCACATACACATGTCTCGATACAGGACACTGGACAGTCAGACTGGATGTTATTATCGGAGCAGGCAGGCTGACAGCCACTGGCACAGGAGTGGAGGGTGGAGTTCACAGGACAGGTCAGCCCTGTAGTATGAAGCAATATAAAAGTCCTTGCTCAAATGCTTGTTTAATTGCAGCTACTGTGCACTGATGTTACATATACAGTCAAACCTGTCTATAGTGACCACCCAAGGGAAACATAAAAGGTGGTCGTGGGCAGGTTCCTTTAGTACATGTTTAAATGAGAGACCAATTTCAAGGGAAACAAAAATGTGTTCTTTGTAGACAGGTGGTCACTAAAGCAGGTTTGACTGTAGCATGATTTGCAATGTTACCATGATACTTCAAAAACTAGTGCAAAGAGTAGAAGTGCATTTGAATTATTATTAATTACTCCAATCACATACAATGGATCATTAATAATAGAACAAATGAATCTGAATTATTTCAATTAATCCAATTACATATAACAGATTGTATATCCATGGAACATGAAATTGACCAAGTCTGTGAAAGCAAGTATAATATTTTGAGAGTCTAAATCCATTTAATCATGATTCACAGAATCATTTTGGTTTAAAGGGAAATGCAGTAGTAGTTTAAAAAAACAGCTAGTAGTTTTGGAACTCAGTATAAGGTCAAAGTTTGAAGCCAGCATTCCTTTATACAGTTTCTGTCAAAATAACAGAGATCATTACTTCAGTTACAATTTGTCCTTAATTATTTACTAATTGCAACAAGAACAGTTGAATTTCAAATGCAGATAAAAAACACAAAGCGATACATATCAACCCGACACTGTACGTCTGTATTCAATCAGACAATCAATCAATCAAAAAAAAACAATCAATCAATTTTTAAATAAACTCCAATGTCTATGCGTTATTTGCAGCCCCTTTTAATTGTCAACATACCACATTGAGTAAGTTCTGCTCTCCAGTTTCCAGCCAGGACTCCTCCAGCCTGTCTACAGGCCGATGCATAGGCATCGATGTCAGCACAAACCAAGTCATCTTCAGGAAGTGTTACACAGAGGTCATACACACAGGCATCATAGTACACAACAGGGTCAAGGACATTAAAGCAAGGTCCCAATACACCTACAAGAAAGGATGTGCAAAAAAATGTTCTTGTAGTTAAAATGTCACTTCCATGAAAAATACATATATATATATATATATACACATGTATATGTATTAAAGGTGTATATGTATCCATACATGTATGTGCAAAACATCTTATAGACAGATGTACGTTGGGTTAGTGATTGAATCTTCTGTCTGCATATAAATGTACATGTAGAAAGACCCAGCTTTAATTTCAAGTCATGTCACACCTTTTGGATAGTGATATTAAGGTTAGTCGGGACATAAATACATATGCATGTACATCTTATTTAAACAATTTACTTAAAACAGATCAAACACAGTATTTTTATGTACTGTGTAAAATTGATCTGTAAAGTTACATGTGCATGTAGGCACGTTGGCACGTATGGATATATGGATACATAACTTCAGAGATCAATCTTAATCAGCAGATTACAGGATTCAGATGGTTCCTGTATTGTCACTATTGACCCTAGGGGGAATGGGTTAAAATAATAATGTCAAATTATGCATGCATGCTTTCAATGTGAAAGAGCAAGCTGGTTTCATGGAGTGTAATAATAATATTGCAGTAAACGATAATAAATTATTATCCTTGTCCTGACCCTAATATAACACTCTGGAAATACTGAACATACTATTCCCATTTCAAACTCACCATTTACATCATTGAGAATGTTGCATAGTTCCTCTGCCTGAGTCCTTGTTGCATCATCTGAGCATGGGATCTCATCTTCTAGTGGAATCTCACAATCAGACATGGTCCAACTGTTGGCAAACTCACGGGCTGAAGTCACCTACAAAAACAAATATGTAAAATACACTCAAATTTGTCAACACTGAAAAATTAAAAATAATCCAAACTAATCCAAAAAGTATTTTCCTTGCAGTTACAAAGAGCTGCACGCATTGCTCCATAATCTTTGGACCACTTAAGCAATAACATACCGGTATCACTTTAAAAAAGACCAGGGGAGTGTTTCACAAAGACTAAGATTGGACTTAACAATGGCAGGCCATTCATGCCACTGTTTGATCTCACCATTTACTGGCATTGGTCTCTCAAGGGACTCACAAATCATGGTCACAAATCTACAGAATTTGTAATTTTGGGTAATTCATTATTGTAGAAAAACATATATCTAAGATCATAATGGTCAAAGCAAACATTGGCATGAATGGCCGCCATAGTTCAATCAAACTTAAAGTCGATCTTAGTCCTTGTGAAACACTCCCCAGGTCAAACAATATAATTTAATGTATACTTACAGCATAGATTGTATATTGAATATAGAATACGTAAATAATGTAACAAATAAGCATAAACGGCAAGGGGTACTATTTATAACTCGAGATCTTTACAATCTGGAGTCATCATCATTTATGATTAGTTTTTAATAATTAAGTATCTCATATTTATGCTGTTATTAAATAAACAAACGCATAGCAGCTACAATGGTTCGAAGACGTTCTGAGATTGATGCAGTGATGAAAATATTTACATGTGAAGTAAGTAGGGCTGGAAATCTTATATCCTGTCATAAAACAGAAATAAAATCAAAGATACCTGGTTTAAATCCCAGAAATGTCATAAAAACTTTTCTATCAATAGACATGAATTCTGATATACTTACCACAAGACCATTCTTCTTAGTATATTCATTATCCTGCAGATCATCATATGTACCACACAAACCACATGTTATGTTCTTGTATGTGTCTGGGAGTGTTATTTCAGCTCTGTATCCTCCATCATACTGAACTCGTAGACCAAAGTCAGTTGTAATAATCTGAAAAAGGCAAAGAAATATTCTCAGTGACATGAACATACTTAATCTCTTGCTTATGAAGACCAGGGCCCCTCTTATTAACAGTTCGCAACTTATTTACGATTGATATCAATTGCAACTTTGTACATAAGAGACAGGAGACTGCAAACTAGCTATTGAGAAGACTTGCACTTGACCATACAGGCCCAAGAGGGTCCAGTGAACTTGCATGAAGGAGGTCATCCAAACTGATAAACATGAGAGCACTTAAAGAGATACAGCTCTTAACTATTTTCTTAATAAAAACTTGATATTGTTTTTGCAGTTGACTTTCATTGATTGCCTAATCATTAAAAACTCATTGACAAAATGACTTACTTGTCAGGTTTTTTATTGTGATTTCACATATTTCTGATTCATCAGCAACAGATTTATAAATTTAAAGAGAACAAAAGACATATAAGACAAATTCGACATTACAGAATCATAAATTTGCATGAAATCAACCATGAGTGTAGGATATGTTTGCCTTACAATACATTGCAAATCAAAGTGGGTGTTTCAAATAACAAACTTACTGTGTGTGCTCCAGTGTAGAAGATAAAAACCTGTCCCGACCTCTTTGGGGGTGTGACATTAATGCCATCAATCCTCAGGACATGGTCCCTCCCGACTGTAAAGACAGTTCCATCCACTTCCAACCCAATCTCTCTCAAGTAAGCCACCCTGTCTGAAGGCAAACGCTTCACGTTATCACTCCATAGGTGGAAGCCAGGCAGACTGCTAGGGTTCTCTGAGGCAACGCAGTCATCGGTGACTAAGGTGTACTCACAGTCTCCTTGGTAGTTGTAGGAAGCTCCATCAAAAGTGATGTAATGAGGATCTCCCCACACGGTGCAAATTTGATATTCTGTAGAGGATGGCAAAACAGCATTCCAAACATCAAAATGACAATACCACTACACACGTATACATTTTTTTCATTTCATTTATTGACCATTAAAACAAATATATATATATATATATACATATAAAAACATCAATACAATAGAAGAATAAACGTTAAAAAACATAAAAGGTAGTAATGGCCAGGGCCCCTGAGAAGCAAGACTGCTTGTAATCGGGACCCTACATACAAGTACATTATAATAGAAATATAAATTTAAATGCACACACATATACTGATACACACTAGACAGAATGGAACAAAGATATGAGAAATAGCAAAGAATACAAAATAAATGCATACTTATTCTTAACATATGATTGACTGGTCTACGGACAAGTCTGTCTGAAATCGTATTGAAACATATCCTCATTAGTGTGTATATATAAGACTACTTTAAAGTATTGTTATTAACGTGTTTTCGTTTTAAAGTGAAAATCCCTATTCTTTGCAAAGACACATAATTATATTGAACAAAAGCAAAGGAAGACAATTCTAAAAATTGCAACATGAAGCCAATAGAATCCAGTCCCATATGTTTTCAAACAGGAGTACACATGTACGCTAGGGATGAATGATGCAAAGAGGGTTTACATACCGTTTTCACAATTGGGTCCAACACGGTTCGGCTCACAAGTATAGAACCTGTTAACCAAGCTATAGTTGAAAAGCTGAAGGTCCAGATCTCCGACATAGATCCTGACCTCGTAGTACTCGTTGCCTCGGAGGGACGGGATGTCAGCTATCCCCTGGGACACAGCAGTGATCCTTGGTCCGGGGATCCAGGTGGTGGTTCCGTAGGGCCGGTACTGGAGCTGGATCCTGTTGTTGGTGGGAGGGGTGAAGTCAGCGTTCCAAGTCACGGTGAGGGAGTTGGTGCGCGCCGTCTGGATCTGAATGTTGAAAGGCAGGTCTCTTGCATCTGGGTTTTAATGATGGGTTTTAAATGAATGGTACAAAAATATGAATTAACATTACCTGACATATGTACAGCATGACAGGAATACATAATGTATACAATACATGAACATTTATCATACCCTAAACTCTTTTTTTACGAAGTATGTTATGCCGCGGCTCTAATGTCCTTTGGCAAGACAATGATCTATATTTGCCACTCTCCTCCCAGGTGTTAAATGGGTACCCAGTAGGATGCGAAAGTTAATATGGTTAGATGAGCAAGTGTATGAGCAAGTGTGTGCTTGTAAAAATGACGTCTGGCTGGAATGCTCCCCAGGGAGTGGAGAATGTGCATACATTGTGTGCAGGTAAACCTGAATCCGATGACCACGGTAATAATATATATCTGTAAAGCGCTTTGAGAGGGCCTGTGGTCCTGAAATGCGCTATATAAGAACTAGCTACTATTATTATTATTATTACCCCTTAGCAGAGAACAAAGTTTAATTACAAATGAAGAATTATACAACTCTCAAATAAAAACTAAAAGTATTTCCTTCTTATTAGTTTCTTACCTTGTGAGCAGTTTTCTCCACTGAAACCCCTTTGACAGGTCACGACTGTGACTGGTACGGTTGTAGCGATGCTTCCTCCTGCAGCTCTCTTCATCACAAGCAGCAGCTCGTAGCCTGTCTCGCTCTCAAGATCAAGAAGACTGTACAAACGTCTTCCTCCATTCAGAATGTCACTGATGAACCACTCTGAATCATTGACCTTTCGGTACTCAACTCTGAACGACTCCACCTCGATAAGAACAGTCCAGTAGATGGTGATGGCGTTGCTCCAGATTCTGACAATCTCCAGTTGAGGGCGGTCGTCTGAAGAAAAAAATGTTGATATATTTGCCCAGTTTTTTAAATGCAGTCCATATAATGGTTGTATGTATTGTTCATTCACTTCAATACAATTTCGGTTTTATTGGTAAAATAAAACATGGCAAAAGTCAGGAGATATATTTACATATTTACAATTGAAATAAACACTAACATTTGCATGTATTCTAGTGCATTACCGGTACCGGTACTTAATTATACATTAAAATATTTGTACAGATTTTTAAATATTAAACGATAGGGAAATGAAAATTATAAATCAAGGAAAAGAATTTTCGGACATCTCTATTTAAAATGACAAAAAACATTGTTGAGGGAAAATATTAATATTCATGATACCAGTGCCAAAATCAGAAATATTCTTTATTATAACTAAATGTGCACATAGACTGTGCTACTATGAATACTCACATACAAAGTAAATTTCAGTCATCTTAATGAATTACATCATGGATATAGAGGAACACAATCTAATGCAGTACTCGTGTTTAACGCTATGCTAAATAATTGCTGCTTCATACTATGTTACATGTTTATTTTAAACAGTATCAAGATCCCATTTAATGAACACAAATTATCATCTCATATCATACATGGACCAAAATGCAGTTTATTACAGTAATACTGACCTTCTTCACAGTTGACTCCAGCAAATCCAATGGCACATTCACATTGATACATGTTGACCAGATCATTACAGGTGCCCCCATTCAGACAAGGATCATTGAAACACTCATCGACATCTATAAATAAGAACATACTATATCAGTAAACATCTTTCACCGATACATGTTGACCAGATCATTACAGGTACCCCCATTCCGACAAGGATCATCGAAACACTCATTGACATCTGAAAATAAGAACATACTATATCCGTAAACATCTTTCACTGATACATGTTGACCAGATCATTAAAGGTACCTCCATTCAGACAAGGATCATTGAAACACTCATTGACATCTGAAAATAAGAACATACTATATCCGTAAACATCTTTCACTGATACATGTTGACCAGATCATTAAAGGTACCTCCATTCAGACAAGGATCATTGAAACACTCATTGACATCTGAAAATAAGAACATACTATATCAGTAAACATCTTTCACTGATACATGTTGACCAGATCATTAAAGGTACCTCCATTCAGACAAGGATCATTGAAACACTCATTGACATCAGAAAATAAGAACATACTATATCAGTAAACATCTTTCACTGATACATGTTGACCAGATCAATACAGGTACCTCCATTCAGACAAGGATCATTGAAACATTCATTGACATCTGAAAATAAGAACATGCTATATCAGTAAACATCTTTTGTTCATGCAATGGTAAATTGACATTTATCAAATCATTGCAAGTACCCCCGTTTACACAGGGATCACTGAAACATTTGTTGACATCTGAATACCAAGAACATGGCTGAACAGTAAACAGCGTCCATTCGTTAAAAGGCAAATTAGTATTGATAGGTGTTTACTAGATCATTGGAAGTGCCTCCATTCATATAGGGATCACTTTGAAAAAATCATCAATAGTGATCTGTCAGTTTATGACAGGTTCAGTGACCCATTCAAAAGTATATCAAGTGTCTCTCCAAGTTTCTCTCCAAGTTCCTCGGTCTTGAGCCAATCGTTTCATCGTTTCATACCTATCATTGGCTGAAAAAATACAATGACATAATCCTAATTGAAACCAAACAAGCAAATCATTATAGGTATCTCCATTGAGACGAGGATCACTGAAATACTCAATTTTCCCCTTGGATGTCCTGAACAAACATATTGGTCTGTATTTCATCCCTCAAAGAGGAAGTCCACCCTGATATCAGGTTGGTTTTAACCACTTGGCTGCGGGCCACGTACATTTACGTGGTCTAGGTCTTGCATGCCCTGTGCGCACCACGTACATGTACGTGGTTAGGGCATTGCACTTTCAAGACCATAGCACTGCACACTGCCTAGCCCTACTGTGTAATTAGCACTGCAATGATGTTATACAAGTTGTTAATTTTTTAACATGCAATAAATCAAATATTTCCTATCATTCATTCACCCTAAATGTAATTATTGCAAATGTGTTTTTATATAACCCCTGTATGACACAAATCTTTTCCGTCATCAATTACTAAGAAAATGAAAGTTAATGATATTTCTTTACAGAGCATATTGGAGAGGAGCTCGCAAGCTACGTCACAGTGATGCCAATTTGTGTTTCAATAATGACAACTTGAACAATTCAAAACTTTCCTATTTTCAATTGTATATTGCTCAACCATTGCACTGCTTAATTTGTTGTTCTAATTTTTCTGCTGTTATTAAAACCAAGTTAATATCTGGTTGGACTTCCCCTTTAAATCATGAAGCTAGAATAAAATGGATATGAATGTTGATACACCCCTACTGAATAAAGAATGATTCAAGTTAACTTACCCAATTCACAATTTCCCCCAACATATCCCGGGACACAGTGGCATGAGTACACGTCCTCACTTAACCCAACACATGTTGCACCGTTCTGACAAGGGGTTTCCGCACAGGGAGATAAATCTGAGGATATGAATAAAGAAAGGAAAACAAATTGAAAAATACATCTTTCCTACCAACTGAATCTAACAAGAAGATCACACATATATATATATAGAGAGAGAGAGAGAGAGATAGAAAGAGTATAATTTGTATATCTTTAATCAACAAAACAAACAAAAATTCTTTTGACCCCTTGTACTCATTAAATTCATGCCTAAAAGAAACATCTGATCAGAAGTGATACTGTAATCTTATTAAGGTAGCTTAGCGAAATATAGGCACGAAGAGACAAATCCAGAACACAAAATGCATCATTATTGGAAATCATAATTTCATCACAAAGAAGAAGACCCACATCATTATGATATGGAACTGGTAACCAATACATATACCATTCAATGAGGCTTAAATATTGTTAGCTAACCATTCATTCAGTTATGTCAAAAACTAAATTTTAATTAACCAACGTATTAAGTAAATAATCATGTCTCGAGGTTGTTTTTTGTACATAAAAGTACAGAAATGAAATTAATCTTTAATATGTCCAACAAACAAGCCCCTTAATTTCTACATCAATTATATACCCATACTTACCTAACTGACTGAAAAAAATAAATGTCATGTATGAGTCAAAGCATACATTTAGTATGTTTGCATTTTCCCTTTGTGCATATAGCATATTTCAATAAATTTTGTCAGTATATTCAGCAAGAATATAGAGAAATATAAGCTGCATTATAGCAAAGTAATATGATCATCAAGAAGATGATAAAGGAAAGAGAAATCAAGTAAACTTAATCAAATATAATATTTGAAAGTCTTAAAAGAAAATGTATTCCTCTTGTATGAACTCACCTATCTCACACCTATCTCCGGCGTAGTTAGTTGGGCATGAGCATCTGAAATATCCTACAAAGTCAAAACATTCACCTCCATTTAAGCAGGGGTCGCTGCCGCACTCATCAATGGCTGTCAGGAAAGAAGTGAAAACAAAGAGAAAAAAAAATCCCAAGTAAAAGGTCAGTCATATGAACCATATTCCAGTAACTCTTCCACTGCTAACAAGTTTTCAAACAGGCATCACAAATCAAATATGAGATTCATTTTTTGTTTCAATCATTGAACCCTTTTCCTTTAGTTATCTGAACCTATAGTAAAAATTCATCTGTATCATTGATGCAAATTTTAGAGTTAACCAATCTCGTGCTTAGATTAACAGTTTAGCTCTTAATTAAATCCTGAACCTGTTTTGTAGCTTTGGACAGCTTAAACTGCCACTGCCACAGCAAGGGTCAATTAAATAATAAGGCCATTGAACTACTACAAAGGAAACGTGAGGGTACAGTCAATTTCATTGACTGTAAACATTGGATTACTTGCAGAACTCATGAGTGGTTAATTATGGGATGACTTACCTATTTCACAGTTTTCTCCCGCCCATCCTAGGGTACAGTTACATTCATAGGCAGCTAGTTTATCAATACAGACTCCATCGTGGTCACAGGGGGCGTCTGCACATTCATTGATGTCTGAAAACAGAAAAGGAAGATTTATAATGTTTTCATGAGGGTTTAGAGGTTCTTCTTATAAATGCATCGGGGCAATCAAAATTTGGCCTTTCCATGCACTGGATGCTGTGAAATAAGGTGTCATAACATTTACAAAGATAGAGTAATACTGATGAAGTCCTGCTGAAAAAAAAAAGCACTGCACTGCACAGATATGGGTGCATGGGACTAAACATATATAGGACAACAAAGTTGATTTAAAGTTATCAACCATTTTCAAGTGAGATTTTACCAAAATCTGCAAGCATTTTACTCCGATGAGCAATTCTTTTCATGTGACTTTAATACGCTATACTATGCTATCATTCTACAATGGATGTAAATCTTCACCGGAACTCAATCTTCTATTAAAGCCCCACTGCACTACTTATAGCTTCTAGCGCTCATTATATAGCAAACAATGACTGATTAGTGCCTGTTAGTCCCCCATGATCCCCTTTTTCTTATGTTAATTGAGAGCTGATTTCAATAACCACCTGTCAGTGACCTTGCTGGGCACTCTAATCCCCCTGGCCAAACTAGTGCAGACAGGCTTTAAAAGAGTAAAAAGAGGATATGCTAATACCTGTTCCACAAACTTCATCTGTCCAACCTGGTGCGCATATGCAGGTGAACATGTCCATACCATCCCGGCAGGTTGCACCATTCTGACAGGGTTTGGAGTAACAATCGTCCTGCTGACCACAGAGTTGACCGATCCAGCCTGGTGTACAGTCACAGGTGTAGCCATTCACTTCATCAATGCATGTTCCATTCGCACATGGGCTGCTGGCACATTCATCAATATCTGGAAATATCAGAACGATGCAGAGAAACCTGCTCTAAAGTTTGCCTTTTATGATTCATTAGTCACTTTGACTAAATAAGGACAAATTTTCCTGTTGGCATTATTTTCTATGATAATGATGTATTAAGATACCAGTGCAATGGTTGTATGATACTTGCTCTAGCAACAATTGTAACGTCTCAATACTACACCAGTCGAGTCTGTAACTTCGACCTCAAAACCAACACTAGTCGTACCCCTACCCTTAAACCTAACCAAGAACCCAATTTCAACCCTAACCCTATATTTTTGATAAAATGAAACGTGGAGCAAGTGGCGCAGGAGCACATGTTGGGTCACCTTGTGCAGCACATAGTAAAAGTGACATAACAGAAAACAACATACCTAAACAGGTGAATCCATAGCCGACAGTGTCATAGCCAGCATTGCATATGCAGCGTGTCTCTCCATTCACCACTCCGCACGATGCGTTAGGATCGCAGGATACTTGAGTGCAGTTGATACTACCGCCTGCGTTGCACTCACAGTATTCTGTGCAGTCTGGAGTCAGAAGAATACTGCCAACCTGATTTAATACAGGAAACATAGAAATAGAGTGGAAAGAGAAAAAGAGAGTAAGTCAGCAAACAGGGAATTGACTCAATTTCTCAAAAATTTGGGTTGCAGTGGTACATGTTCATCAGATAGCAGTATTTGATTCCATTCTTAAAATTTGACATGAGAAATTGCATTTTGAAATTGGGTATAAAACCTAGACTGTAAAAGTATAAATGTGCTTCTCTTGTCATATTTTATGGAGTTATTTAAAACTTTGGAGCCAGTTTCACTTCCAATTCAATATATATTTTCAGTGAATGTCAACCTGAATAATTTCATCTTGGGCTCGGTACTCTACAAGTTAGAGACAATGTCACTTATCACAAAAAGCCAATGGTGCAAACCATTCTTAAATGTCACGGTGTAAATATAAAGAATGTAAAGAATGAAACGCCAATAACACCAAAAAACAACCTATACTATCTTAATACACATAAGTTGCATCACATCGTTAGTAAAATAAAATAAAAACCTTGTGATTTGATTTTAGTGGTGATATCCTCAAATACATAGCAATTAAAACTGTAAATGAACTAGAGGTAGCTAAAGAAAAAGAAATACACAACATGATTAAAATATTCCAAGATTAACTTACCGTGAGATAGAATCCATCTGTAACACATCCGCACTGGTTCTCCGGTACACACTGCAGATCTTCCAAGACGAATCCCTCATCACATGCACACCCCTCAACACAGAGGTCGTGACAGGTGTGATCAGGGTCTTGGTAATCCCAGCAGGTGAGTGGACAGGCCGAGACGCAGCTACCGTAGGTGCTGTTTGATGGACAGGTCAGGGCTGGACAAGGAGAGCAAGAAAGGATAGAGACAAAGATTAGACATGGATTAAATCAAATGGAAATGGATGATAGTTAGATGACATCTCATCTTTTTACTTAAGGCTTGTTAATTGCCACGGTAAACTACCCTCAAAAACATTATGCTTTTTCTGTACGTGTAAATAAAGGGCAACTGCACACAACAAAAGTCCTGCACGTATTCACTGAACTCTGTTTTATAACATACAGATATGTAAAACGTACTACACTATACGTCATCATGTTAAAAAATGCTTTACTTTTACAGTGTCATATTATATTGAGGCTTTACTCCTCAGGTACAATCTTTATTCTCTGTAAATCATACATGGAAATTTGCTTACTGAATCATTTGCTCAAAATACTAATGCAAAGGAAAATTTTGACAAGGATGAAATTGTCAGCACCTAATACCTAATATCTCAAAAGTAACTCTGATAAAACTATCATGGGTGTTAAAGCATTGATTCCAGAGAGAAGTATCTTTTCAACAATTAAAGTCTGGATTCTTACGACAGAGTGTTTCATTCCTCCAAGAAGGGACATCGACATAGAAGTATCTGCATGCTTGGGTGTAAGATGCCATAGCGTTACAGAGTGCAGTATCGTCGTCATCAGGGGATGCACAGACATCATAGACACAGTCTCTGAAGTATGGGGTGGGATCCAATACAGCAAAGCACTCTGTAAGTCCTGAAAGAATTCACCAGATAGGGTACAAAAAAGGGATGGAAGTAAGACAACTGACAAAGAAAACAGTGTTTTAACTTGAGAAACTATACATGTCTCAACTTTATAACACAAAACAAAACGTATCTTCATAAATTGAGACATAACCTACATGTATGTCTTCACCACATGACAACAGCATGAAAATCCATCCTACATTGACTTGTACTTACAGCAATGAAGACAAATTAAAAGTTATCTCAAACTGTATTGAAGATTAAAATCAGTAAAACAGGAATATTGCCATAAGATAGCAAACCTGGATGAGTATTGGTTCTTTCTTGTTTATAGCATTTTATCAAACTATGTGAATAATAGATTTTGCAAATAAAATGTTTACAATCCCATTTACGATTAAGCGCAACAAACAATGCCACATCTGTATCGTTTGTTTTTCACAAAACATTATTTTTCTTGTTTTAGTTGATAATTTTACAAAATATCATTAGCACCGTTGGGTATCGAAAGTATAAATATAGCAAAATGCATCCATACTTCATCTTTAGAGTGCCAAAAGGGCATTACTGGTAATTCAATGCTAAATTCTATTTATTTACACCATTTTTTATTTGTTTCATTCTCTTACCTGCAGCACTTTGAATGATATCACACTTGCTCTGGGCTCCAAGAACCACAGACTCTGTAGCACTCAAGCAAGGATTGGTTTCATCTCCTTGAGGTACACAATCTGGATCATTGTAAGCTTCCCAGCTGTTACCAAAGGCTGCCTCATTGGACACCTATAGTGGAAAATATATAGAGTGAAACAGGCATTATAGGCAAAATCACCCTAGAGAAGATTAACAACGCAGTAAGATCAGTGTCAGGAGTAAACCAGTGGAGGAGCTCAATGGCTGTGGTAGACAAAGAAAAAGGCAAGCACACCTTCATAAGCTTCGACATAGTTGACTTCTACCCGTCTATATCGGAAAGTTTGCTTAAGAAATCATTGGACTTTGCCAAGGAATACACACACGTCAGCAGACGAGATATCGAGGTCATTATGCACTCGAGGAAATCTCTGCTGTTTGACAAAGGCAATCCATGGAGGAAGAAGGATAGCAACGGCCTCTTCGATGTCACTATGGGCACTTTTGACGGAGCTGAGATATGTGAGTTGGTCGGCTTATACATCCTAAGTATCCTATCGAAGGACTATGGCAAAGATGGAATCGGGCTATACAGAGACGATGGACTAGCAGTCTTCAAGAGCATCTCCGGAAGCAGAGCCGATCGGATTAGGAAAAGCATAACGAGAACATTCCAAAAGCTTGGCCTAAACATCACAATCGTTTGCAACCTAAAAATCACCAACTTCCTCGACATCACCTTCAACCTGAGTGATGGCAAGTACTACCCTTACAGGAAGCCGAATGACTGCCCAATGTACATCCACAAGCTATCCAACCATCCACCATCCATCACCAAGAACCTCCCAGCATCGATAAGCCGCCGCATAGCAGACATCTCATGCGATGAAGAGACTTTTAACGAAGCTTCCCCTACCTACAACGATGCCCTAAAAGCCAGTGAATTTGCTGAAACCCTCAGCTTCACGAAGGAGCGCCCGACAAGGAGAAAGCAAAACCGGAAACGAAAAATCATCTGGTTCGACCCTCCATTCAGCAAAAACGTCGCAACCAACATCGGCAGATCATTCCTGAGGCTTGTCGATAAGCACTTCCCAAAGAAATCAAAATTCAACAAGATATTCAACAGAAACACGCTCAAAGTCAGCTACCACTGCATGCCGAATGTCGCCAGCATCATCAAGGTGCACAACAAGCAGATTTCATCCACGGACGACCAAACCAAGCCGAAAACATGCAACTGCCGAAAAAAGAATGTGTGCCCCCTACAAGGAAACTGCAAGGCCTGCAGTATCATCTACAGTGCCAAAGTCTCCTGCCCAGAAAGCCCTAAGCAATATATTGGACTCATCGAGCCGCCGTTCAAGCTGAGGTACAGCAACCATCTACAGTCCTTCCGACATGTGAAGCACAAAAACAGCACAGAACTCTCCAAACACATTTGGCAACTCAAACACCAAAGCACCCCATTCACCATCAAGTGGTCGATCTCCAGCAAGGCCCAGGCGTACTCCAGCGAAACGAAGAAATGTAACCTGTGCCTAACTGAGAAGCTTGCCATCATCAACACTGAGAAACAGACACTCCTGAACAAAAGACGAGAACTCATCTCCAAATGCCGCCATGAAAACAAATTCTACATCTGCAACTTCAAAAGAGACTATACTTAAATAAATACTTAAATATTTATGTACTAGCACCTTGGTGGAGACTATTTTGCGATACCGCCTCCCATGTTTAAAATTCCATCGCAGTACCTGAGCAATTACAATAGCCCCTTCACCCATGAGTAAATCTTATTGTTTTGTATTGTATAAGTCTTATTTTGAACGTATTTGTACCCTGGTAGAGTAATCATGTACTTTTAAGAATGCTACCAGTTGCCTGATGATCACTCGCAAGGCATGAAACTCGAAGTTGCAACCATGTTCCATTAGTCTGCCTTATTCAATATATATATATATATATATACATATAATAAAAAATATCTGAGACTATGGAACACTTAACAAGGAGCTTCTTAGATAATCCCTAATGCTGCCTCATTGGAAACCAAGGGTTACACTTTTTTCAGAAAAACAGCAATATTGCAAGACAACTTCAAGTGTATACTATTGAAATGTAAAGATATTACAATAGAGTCTCCATAATGAGAACATACTATCATGAAGCAATACATCATGATATTGAAATCACATATAAAATCTGAGTGAAATATATGAGAAGCCCCTGTAAATAATTGATCGATAAAACAGGGGCAGTAGAACAAGGATAATTACTTGATTCCACTCTTATTAAATAGAAAAGGGCATTCCTTTGAGTATCCTCATAATGGGATTCAGCATTTGCAATACAGCTCCTACATAAAATAATACAAAAATTCATAAGGAGAGCAAGAAAGTAAACTGTAATCTGAAATAATATCAATTCAAATTTTTGGTTTTCTTTCTGGCTTTTTAGGTGCACATAATGTGTGGCAACTATGGAAGCATCCATTTACTTACCGAATTTCCTGTTGGTGTAAGAAACTCATCCTCTTGGGTACCGATTCCATTGTAGTTTCCACATAGACCACAGGTATTGTTCTTGAAGGCAGATGTCACTTTGACCTCCACTCTGCTATCACCATCCCATCGCACATAGAGGCCAACATCTGATACTACTTGCTGTAACGTGATATTGAACAACATTTGTTTTAATGGTTCTATGACACATGCTCCTGAGACAATTGCTCCATGGCCGATTTCTCACGCAAACCGAATTTCAAACTTCAACCTTGGACCCCAAATTATTACTAATTCTAAGCCTAACGCTGAATCTAACATAAATCCAAATCAGAACCTTTATCCTAACCCTGTATTTTTGATGAAATGAAGTCAACAGCTATTGTGTGTCCTAGGGGGAACTCTCTCAGGTCATCGACTCAATATTGTTATCAAGTGAAAATAGGCATCCTATATAGGAAATGATATTATCACTTGCAGATTATAAACTTAATTTTTTTTAACCATTCTTCAAATGTCACTATACAGCTGCAACTGATAATATGATATCTCAATAATCAATACTTTCCATATACACTGTTCTTAAAAAATCGAATCACTCACTAACATATCTGAAAAAAGTTGGACGAAAATATCGCATAGGGGGGAGAGCACAAATAATGCACAAGACTCAACATAAAGAAAGCGAGAGAGAGAGAGAGATCAAACTTTGAAGTTGAATATTAGGGTATAGATAATTCCACTGATGGTTGACTTACCACATAGATGCCACTAACAGAAACCCTGATGCCAGGTCTTTCGGATGGGAGATTGACAACGACACCATCCACGTTTACACCAAGGCTGGGACCTAAGAGTATCTCCTGCAAAACAATTAACATTTAGAGTAAAAGTACGGCTAGTAATAAAAATAATGTCCCGTAAACTTCATGCAGTAATCACTTTATCAACAAGCTGGGGACATGTCAATATCCATCCAAGAGCAATGTTCACAAATCTTTCTCCACAGTCAAATCATGGTGGAGAAACAGTCTAGAGGTTTTGCATGATAATAATACAGGATTCACTTATATATTTTTTTCTCATCTTTAGAAGTAGGTCATGCACTTTATTTTAATAAAAATTCCAATGCAGTGAAGCAATTTGAACAGTGTTTTGGAAAGGGCGCTATGCCACATACTTGGTGGTATCGGCTTGGATTGCACTAGGAATAGGAAGAAATAATGTACATGTATGTAACTAAAGACATTCCTAGATTTGCTTGTCAAGTGTATATGTATATCTTGATGTATAATTGTGCAAGAAACTACTCGAAATTAATATTTATACAAACTAATTAACATACAACCAATGAAGGATCATAATGCAAAGACACACAACAACAACATGACATGAGTACACACCGTTTGATTCAGGATGATTGTAACATCATATGTATATGACACTGCAGCTGTTTGAGACCTCTTCATATTTGAGACGATCACTTTGAAGAGTGGGTCAGGAGAGGAGCAATCCTGGGTGAATATGTAGGAACAACTGCCCTGGAAGTTATGCCTGAGGTCATCGAATGTCTTGTAGTGAGGATCCCCAGATGTGTAGCAGATGCCATACTCTTCAAATACAAATAAAAGAGAGTGGGTGAATTTTCATTACATCATAAAGACCTGGATTCTGAATGTAAGATCATAAAGTTGTAATTGACTTTTCGTTTATCGATTTATGAGTTGCTTTCACATGCTCTGTCCCTATGAAAGGATGTTAAATGTAGTTTGCATACATATAAGAATTAAATGTACTCCCTAATGGAGTGGAAGAACATGCTGCATTTCTCAAGTAGAAAAGGGTGAAACCCACTGCAGAGATGCATCTGCACAGCTCAATTAACTGAACAATTTAAAAAGTCAGCTAATATTTCTCCAAATAGAAAATAACATAAAGCAAACGACTAAGTCTACATTGTTACTGCACTGGTACTATTTGACAATTTTGCAAAATTAATTTTTAAAAACACAAATGTCTGTGAGAATGTTGTAATTATAGAAAGCACCGGGAAGCAACCTTTACAATGAGTCCAATAGTTTGCTGTTTGATACCACTTACCTATTTCACAGTTCCTGCCCATGAAGGATCCACCACAGGTGCAGGTGTATGTCTCAATCAGATTGGTACATGTTCCTCCATTCAGACATGGTACATCCCTACAAGGATTCACCTCTGTGAGTGCAAAGATGAGACAGGTTATCTGCATTAAAATCATTCGAGAGTTGAAAAATCAACCATTTCAAAGCTAAGACTGAGCAAGAAATATCATTTCAGATGAAAAGTGATAATTAAAATTTGATTAAAAAGTTACTGTTTATTTGATGTTGATCACATGTATGTTGAAACGATTGCTTTGAGACAAGCAAAATATTTATCAAACCAATATAGGTTAAACACATGCCCAATCAGATGACATTTAACTTTTGGTTCTTGCATAAGTATTAATTCGTCTATATGTAAAACATACATTGCTCACTTTACATTTAGTAAAACAAATTAGGTAGCATTGTTCTTAGCCTTTACACCACCTCATATGTACCTACAATGATAATTATATCAAATACATGTTTGTAAGACAAGGTTTCATTCACAGGGTATTTCTTCACTGCTAATGTTAATAAAAACATCACTCTATGTTACCTAACTTCGTAAGGTACCTTTACTCCCCAAAAAAAAGTATTTTTGCTGTTGAAATCACTTCATACTAGTTGGGATACTATAACATTGATTTTACATTTAGAGCGTTAGCATATGTTGAATAATTATGGGTACATTAAACTGACCTTCTTCACAATTGGAGCCTTGGAAGCCATACACACAAGAGCAGCTGTATTGCAGACCGAAGCTGGTACAAGTTGCTCCATTCTGACAGGGGTTCGGGTCCATTTGGCAGGGATAATTATCTTCAAGAGAAAGTCAGTACATAATACAACTTAGAATACTACCTGTATGGATGTATTGCTTAAACAGCAGTGTTGGCAATATGTTTAAAAATTCTAATGATCACCGTTTTTGTACAAACAATTAATTTTCTTGAATACCACGTAATTAGTACTTTTATACGGGCAGCAAAGTCTATATCAGCATTTTTCTGATGGAATTTCAACCTAATGATCATTGTTATTATTGGGTTCAACTAGAAATGCATGGTGTGAAGATATTGATTTTCCTTTTGCTTTGCAATTTTTGAATGACATGATAGAAATTTGAAAGAAAAGAAATATAATTGTATTTTGAACTTTAGATAACCTATAGGAGAATTGTTAGGGAGCTTCTTTTTTGGGCAGATTGTAAGAGGATTTTATTTGAACATTTTCATTTCATTTCATTTTTTCAACAATAACAGCTAATGAAATTTACAAAGCTTTTCATCTTACAAAGTCATTCCAATTAAAATATCAACAAACAAGAATTATACATAATATGGTACGTGCAAACACTGAAACAGATGAAATGGATGGCTCAAGACCGAAGAACTTGGAGAGGCATTTGATATAAAATTTTGACTGGGTCACTAAACCCGTCATAAACTGACAGATCACTATTGATGATGGTACATGCAATGCAGTAAAGGCATGAAATTGAGACTAAGAAGACAATTGCTTGCTGTATTGGAGAGGAAACCTATGAAAGCATTGATGTTTTTTATAGTAAGCAAACATTAATCACGCTTGTAAAAAATAAAATAATGTGTATTTTGAAGTTAAATGATTGGAATACAGCCCAAAATTTAATCACATTACACATTTTTAATGTGTTGTTCACTCTGCTTTCGAAAGCAGATTCTTACGCCTACTTACTTATTTCACAGAATGTTCCATTGAATGGAAAAGGGCATTGACACTCAAGTGAAGTAGCGTTGATTTCCATGCAAAAGCCTCCATTTTCACAGGGGTTCTCCATGCAGGCTGCATCACAGTTGTACCCAGACCAGCCAGGGTCACAATTGCAGGCATAGAAGTTGAGGTCATTCACACATGCTCCATTGATGCATGGGCTGCTGGCACATTCACTGACATCTGTGAAAGGTGTAATGACATATGTGAATGGAATGCTTGGGTGGTTATAGCTCTTCATTACTTCTGTACATTCATCCTTAATTTATAGAATGTAGTGCCTATGAATGTAGTTTCCTAATAAGACTCTATACAATGAGCTTCCTATACATACATGTACATCACATGAACATTCTGGTACATATTTTCAACAAAATGATGATTAGATCATTGAACATATCATCTGATCTCTTAGGCTGTGAATTTTGTGAATATTTTTCTAGACAATAGTTCTGAAAAGTCAAAAAAGTACCTTGTCTCAAGATATATTTCTACAACCAATTTCTTACCTTGACCAATACATGTCCTAATACTTCTACCTTACAAACACAATAAAAACATGACGTGAAATGATACCAATCTGAAAGTTGAATACCAATTTATTAAAACACTGTTCATTTCCAGTTTGAAATAACTATGGTGATTACATTATAGCTAACACAAACTAACATATACCTAACAATAAACACTATTTTCAAGTGTAGGCTTTACGAGCACTTGTGCCTCTTAAATGCTGTCATATATACAGCTGCAGCTCAGTTTCACACATTCTATTTCCATTAAATTGATTGCTCTATTCCGATAAATTTTCTACCTGCACAGGTGATTCCATCCCCAGTGTAACCAGCTGAGCAGTGGCAGCCGTGTTCTCCATTCTCTATCCTACATGTAGCAAACTCACTGCAGGTCTGTGCAGAGATGTCAACCACATTGTTACCGCTGCAAATACGCTTGGAGAAGCAACCAGGGGTGTAGACACTGTCTCCAATCTGTATGTAGGATATAACCATTAGGGTATGTAAAATTACATATCAGTCCTTGTTGTAGTCTATTTAAAGGATAAACAGGGCGTTGTGGCATGCGCCTGTAATCCAGCTAACAATGGAAGTTACAAAATGATTCAGCCGAGGACGCAGGTTCTAAGTGAGTCATGTCTTTTGGATGATGACGTTAAAGGTTGGTACACAGATGTAAATATTCATATCTGATTGATACACGTCTGTGAAAACCCAATTACACACACACACACGCTTGCCTCAATATGTGGAGACATAACATAAGTTTTAAAATTAAACAAATCAGTTCCAAAAGGTAGCTATTAAATATAAACAGAACCAAGTATGCAACAAATAACAATTGCAATAATGTCCACCGATACATGGATACCTACTGATGTGTCCAAGCAAGAAGTTGGAACATGTAGTCTGATATTGCATCTCTACTAAACATTTAAAAAATGGGCTGACATGTTCTATACAATCACAAAACAGAAAATGAGCAAGGCTTATCATAAACAGACAGTATTCAGGAAAGACCTTATCGCGCATTTATATATGCTTTTATTTTGCATTAAAGCAAGTACAAGCCCATGAATGTCATGCTCTGTGTACAGAATTAGATAACTCGCAAATCCACATTTCACAGCCATTCTTTCTTACCGAGTAGTAGATACCGTCCACATAACATCCGCATGAGCCCATGTCCACACAGTCAAAGCCATCAAACACCAGGCCATCTGGACACTGACAACCCTCCACACATGGCCTGTCACACATGGGGGAAACCCCTTGTATGACATCATAGCAAGAAGATGGACAGGCATCAGTACACCAGCCGTATGCTTGGCCAGCTGGGCATGAAACGGCTGCAATGTTTAAAAATATCATGTATTTAAAAATTGAACAGTATATTAATTGAGAAAACACCCATTGCAACTAAAATAGTGTAAATATTAATACAAGTAAATCAATTCAAAATAAGCATATATGGAAATTCCTTCTTGTAAATTATGTAGGTAAACTTGTCTCTATAACATTTCAAATTAGTGCGATGTACAGATAGCAACAACAAAATCCAATTTTAGATCATATACCACACCCACTTGCATTTTGAAATAAACATGTAGAAGTCTTTGATGGCCATTATTTCCATTCCATATTTGGACAAAAAAGTACAGGTTGTCCAAATGTTTACAAGATATAGAAACAAACCTGCAAAGCAATGGTGAACATGGAAGATTGAGTAGTGTATCACTTCATTGTCTTTGATGAAGATCATATATAGGACTATACTCACGGCAAAAGGAGTCATTTCTCCAGTCCTCTATAACGGCTTCCCTGTCCAAACACGCCTGTGCGTACAGCTCGATGAGATGACATGTGGTTTCATTGAGTTGACTAGCCGGCACAATACAACCATCAAAGACACAAGCATCATAGAATGGGGCAGGGCCAAGGGTGTCAAAGCATCTCTCAAAGGGCCCTGTGTTTAATGGAAAAGGAAGCAGCAACATAATAATAATAATAATATAATATAATATAATATAAAAATAATGATAATAATATAATTAATAATAATATGATAAAGAAAATAACATAATATAATATAATAACAATAATAATAATACAATTATTATAAAGCGCATAATACCTTTGTCAACGTCTCTACATAGGTTTAGTAGGGACAGGTAGCATTGTTCGCTTGCACATGTGTATTGACAACAATTACAATACTGCAAATAAAATGTTCAAATCTACAACACAAAATTGTAGTTGTTAATTAAAATTGAATAAGTTTTGAATGCCCTTAGTATCCTATTTTCTTCATCTTTACGCAGAATACATTAGACTTTACTAATTTCACAAATGTTAATTCAACAAATGGTAGGTGTAATAAACTACCATGACAAATTTAATTTTCAACTGGCACTTTATGAACTCTATATTTTAAAAAAATGTTATTTAAGATCGATTAGAGTGACTAGATTGTGTTTTAAAGAGCATCTTGTCTTCATTTGAGATGAAAAAGTGGAGTTTATTTTATGTTAAATGTGTTGACTTTTTATATCCACTCATTCCTAAATATATTTCTGAACAAAATATAATGTACAGAAACATTGTTAGTATAACATTATTATCATTACCTGCAGCATCTCTTATAATTTGGCAGGCGAGCGAAGCCTGATTATATGCATCAGATGTTTCATTGCAGAGATTGTCTCCAGGCACCAAAGGAATACAGGTTCCGGGATTTACTGTCCAACTGTTGCCAAATTCCTGAACATCCGTGGTCTATGAATGGAAGAAACATGTATAAAGTGTATAAGGTGCATTACTACTTGTCATTACCTTTAACAAGTTATTTCTGTCATCATTCAAGGAAACATGTTCATGAATCTGCAAAAGTTATTGCTGGAATTTAAATAAGAATGTACACAGAAAGTAATCTTCCATAGCAACAATATAGCTAAAAGTAACTCCTACAAAATATTGTTGACATGAATGCAAATAAGCAATAAACAAGGTGTATACGTTCTGATCCTTGCAGAACCAAACAAAATCTCAACAATGCCTCTCCATCTCTATATTAATTTTACACTATAGACAAGAAAACGCAGATCATCACATCATCAAAATAAACTATACATCTACAATTCTTGTAACACCAAATAAAAATGATGAATGTGTCAGCATTAAAGTCAATTTCTCAATTGAGATATTTCAAAGAAATATCAATTTTAGTAGATAATAATACACACAAAACCTTCACATCCTGAATATAATAACATACATTTCTTATTTACATATTAATACAAATATTGTTGCTGGTTTGCTGTTTGATGTCAACACCAAAAATGCTTAAGAAGTAAAATCTCACCAACTGGCCATCAGGCATGATGAACTCATCCATCAGGTTTCCATTGAAGTTACCACATAGACCACATGTCGCATTCTGGTACTGGGCAAAAGGTAATCTGACCTCAGCTGTTCTTTGACCGTCCCATTTGACAAACAGATAGACGTTCTGACCGTCCGACTGGACATCAGCCGATACTTCCTACGTAGGGATAAGATCATCAGTATAAAATTGATGAGTTTTAAAACTTCCTCCAATGACAGGCACATATATCTAGCATAACTTTGAGTGATTGTATTTTATACCTCAGTTTATCAAAGGCACATAGGGAAAACAAAGCATACAAAAAAGAAAAATAGATATTTTTCATTGCTTTCTTCAGAAGTCATTTTCCTACATCTATAATAAAATTAAAATTTATTATTAGAGAAAAGAAAAAGTCCACCATATCTCACCTCTATATTCCTGTAATTTGTGATATGATAAAATCTATTCCATATTGATGTTTTTTTCAGAAACAACCCTAATCACTATGTTTGAACCATTCTGAACATAATTAAACAAAGCTAAAGCAATAAACTGATAATTTTACTTCTGAATATAGAGAAAAATTGTCAGATTTTGTTTCTCTTACCACATAGAAACCACTATGGCTCACAGTCAGTCCTGATATTGGTTCTACTGGAAGGGTCACTCTCCTGCCATTGACAAAGACCTCTCTGCCTTGTTTGAGGGTGATTTCCTGTGTGAAAAAAAACAATCATGATTCCTTTTTTCTGAAATTGCATTCAAAAGAGGTACAGTATATACACATACAAGGTGCTGATCCAGTATCAAGAAAACTTGCAAATTATAGAGATGGTTTAAAGTTTACATCATTTGCTTTTTCTAAGGTAGCAGTTTAACAAAAGGTTTATAGAACAGTTCAAATTTTTATTTTTTACCAATTGAATACAATCTGATTTTGATAGATCAAACATTTACTACAGAGTTACATTAAAATTATATTTAATCATTTGCTTGTTTCAGGATTCAAACAATTAGAACCTTGACACATAATTCATGACATGTACATGATGCTGATCATTTCAAATTTCAAAGTAAAGCCATTGAATACAATTAAATATTGTAGACCCCAGCCCAATTTGTATCAGGCTTAGACTTGCAAGGGTTAAGACTAATACATAACTTCACAGGGGCTGTTAAAATGAATGTTAATCTAATTTCATGAACATATTTTTATGGACCTGGCATTGTAAATGCACTTTGGATTATGCTTACCACTTCAAATACTTGGACTGTTACTTCGTAGGTGTATGATCCATAGACATTCTCCTCCTTGCCTATGTTCCTGACATCAACTCTAAACGGCGAGTCCATCCCATCCCTGCACTCTTGGACCAAAGTATACTCACAATCACCCTGGAAGTCATGCCATACATCATCAAAGGTCAAATAGTGCGGATCCCCAGTCGCATAGCATATACTTGAGGCTAGGAACAGAAAAGAAGTGATAATTAAACCCACATACAAAATTGTGGTATACATGTAGCAGTAGATGTATTTGTGAGCAGTGATAGTTAAGACCTTTTGTACAATATTAAACAAATTTATATACGATTAATTACTTCTAGAGTTAGATGGGATGTCCCACTTTTCCTGCGTCCCAGTGCAACCCGTTCTTCCCCAGACATAGAATATCAACGTGAATTCAAATTATTGTCAAATAATTTCTTTATTTTTTGTATACATATTTGTATATACAGTACACGCCGAAAATCTCCGCAACACGATTACACGATTTATTTCTAGGATTACACGGTTTACACGATTCACCTGAATCGTGTAACTGTGTAATCGTGTAAATTTACACGATTGAAGAAAGTCGCTCTGAATCGTGTAATCGTGTAAATAGTTAAGTGCATTGGTCGGATGATTCGACCAGATGTAACAATCGTGTAACTGTGTAATCGTGTAAATTTACACGATTGAAGAATGTCGCTCTGAATCGTGTAATCGTGTAAATAGTTATTAGGGTTATAAGGGAATTGTTATAACGATGCGACAAGCTGCAACAATCGTTAAATCTTATCCTGCTTACACCAATTGCTTTATACACAACTTACCTTCAGTGTACATCAGTTAATTACTGTACTTTATATTCGTGTATAAACCTCAGCACTTTCCACTAACATGTATAGTATACTAATCCGTGAGATAAGGTAGGAAAACGTCAGAAACAGGAAGACATGGTAGATGAAATAGTAAAGGAAAAAAGATAGCTACGAGGAGAAGGGAACATATAAAAGCAAAATGAGGGTTGAAAGGCACGATAAAGATAAACAGAAAAAAAGAGAGAAAAAATTAGGGAAAACTAAAAAGTTGACCGGAAGAAAAGAAAGAGTGAAATAGAGTGATAAAAAAAGAAGGGCGAAACCTAGTAAAATTAACAGAAATGAGAAGGCTATGAAACGGAGAGGAAAAGAGACAAATTAATAAGGTAAGAGGGGAACATAATGAGGGAAAGAGAGGCGATAAAGATATGGGGGAATGGAAAGATATTGAAAGAAAGAGAGAGAGTGAGAGAGAGAGATAAAAAAAAGCTTTAGTTGAAAGAAAAGGGGCACCGATCAGATTTTAATAGGGGCATTTATCGGAGTTGATGGGGGCATTTATCAAAAGTGAAGAGGGGCACTTCTCGTACTTAAAGAGGGATACTTACTACAGATTAAAAGGACACTAATGAGAATGGAAAATGGACACTTATTGTAAAGGAAAATAGGAACTCGTCGAAGGAAAAGGGGTGTGTGTGTCAAAAGAAAAGGAGCACTTATCAGAGTTGAAAAGGGGAAGGGGCACTTTTACAAATTAATAGGGACACTTGTCAAAGTAAAATAGGTACTTTTCCTACATACAAAGGGGCACTTTGGGGGAACTTGAAAAAGTGGGGGGACACTGTGCCGCTAGCTAAACGTAACTCAAAGACAGTTGGCCATTCACTTATTCTATTCATTCGCGGCTTGCAACTGTTCCCTACACTCTGTAGCCAGTGGCTTACATACTTACGTACATGTAATACCTATTGTTCAGGGGGATCCTATGTTCAAGGGGAACCCCCTGAACAATAGGTATTATGTAAGGATCTCTGCCTGTAGCTAGGGCAACGGCCTTTGTCCCCGGCGAGGGTCAATGGCAGGCCACATTCAGAGTAAGCTTCTTTTGTATGTGACAGGAAGTGTGCCCTTAAGCCTTGACCGTAGCTCTTTATACATATAGCTGAATAATGCAATGTTGTAAAAGGTAATTTACGAAAATGAGGAACGCTAAAAAAGCAATAAGTGATCAAAGTCTAAGGCCCGAATTCACAAAGGAGGTTTGTCGACAAACCTTGGTTTTCGGGCGTCATATGACGCATTTTTACAAACCAGGTTTGTAAAATGGATAATGATTGAATAAAAAAAACAAAATTGCCCCCTTCCTTAGTCGTTCATCGCTTTTTTCTTTTTTCTCACCGAGGATTAAATCCGAGAGTGCTTTTCGGGAAGTGGACTGATTTTTTTAACTTTCAAACATTCTATAATAAAACTAGAGACAAGACACTGCAATTAAAAATATATACAAGAGAAAGAAAGCGTAATCTTCGCTATCCCCTCGTATCGTCCACGTTGTCCTCGTTCAACCAAGAAGTAACTTCTTGCCTTTACTGAACTAGACGTCCTTAACCTGGTCACCATCACCACTGAAAATAAATTGTAACACAATTCCAGCGAGCAATCGAATCGTGTAAATTTTGAATCGTGTAATCGTGTTGCGGAGATTTTCGGCGGGCAGATTACACGATTACACGATTCGACCTGAATTGAGGAATCGTGTAATTTTACACGATTACACGTTTACACGATTCAAATTTCGCTTCATTGGCAAAAAACGAATCGTGTAAAAATAAATGGTTACACGATTCCCGCGAGCAGTCGAATCGTGTAAATTTTTAATCGTGTATATCGTGTTGCGGAGATTTTCGGCGTGTACTGTATGCATATGTGTTTGTTTTCTACCTTAAACAAATACATATTCTAAGTGAATATAGTCAAGGTAAGGAAAAACAGATTGATAATTTATCTCAGAGCTATTAATTTCATTGTTGCTCTATACTATTCACAAAAAGTCAGTAAATATCTTTTATGACTTGACAAATCCTTCCACTTGGCATTGTAGAGGCAAACAGTTTTCATCAGTATAGGCTTAAAATTATTAATCTGCTGCTTAAAAGAACTAGGTGGATAATGCATTAAGCTAAGGAAGAATTTGGTAGTCAATGGAATAAAATTAAGGTTCTATATAATAATAATAGTCACATTTGCCCAGTGCTCAGTACGACATTTATAACAGCGTTTCATTGTAATTATTAATCTCCCAGTCATTGGATTCAATTGCTGATCTGCACATGATGGTGCACACACTCAACTCTCTGGGGAGTATTCCGACCAGGCGCCATTTTACAAGTGCGCACATGCCAATCCAACCACATTAACATTCCTATCCTATGAGCTACCCATTTATCACCTGGATGGAGAGTGGCAAATGCAGACTTATGTTTTGCCGAATGACATTAGTGCCGTGCTGGGACTCGAACCATGAACCATGTGATCCGCAGTCCGGTGACATATCCACCAGACCACAAATTCATCTTCCATTGAAAAAGACAGATTGTCAGTTCTGTAAATTATATTAGGAATGTATTGAATATCAAACAACTCACCATCTTGACAGTTTGCGCCCAGGAAGTGTGCTGGACAGGTGCATGTGTAGTAGTCGTAGTAGTTGTTACAGGTACCTCCATTTAGACAGGGAGTGTCAATACAGGCATTTTTTTCTAAAGAGAAAAATTTGAGAGAAAGGTTTGGCATTATGCTGATTTATATTATTATTTTATTGTGTCTTTATTATCGCCTTCTTCTTCTTATTATTATTACCGGTATGATTATTATTTTCCACTATTACTATCATTGTTGTCATTATCGACAGGTATTTGGTATCCCCTGTGCCGGGGGGGAGGGGACCACTATAACTCTTAAGTGGTCTCTCAACCCAGTATACCTGATTGGGATGTGCAGGTGAACCATTATACTGGAGTTTCCTACTGCTCTCGACTGGCTCTTACAAAGAACACAGTAATTTCGTTTGTTTACCAACACTCAACAGCAAAATAATATGTATCTATAATATGCTTTGACCAAATCCATGAGATAATTTGTAGTTTGAAAATTAACAGTAAAGATCAACACTTTTTTCCCCTTTTTTTTCATTTCTTAATTTAGAATAAGATAGTGTCACAAATGTTCAGAACCAAAGATTTCACTGGACAATGTGCCAGTTTTTGTTTAATTTGGAAAGACGCCTTTTAGGTTAGGTTTGTGTTAGGGTTTGAGGTTAGGTACAGCGTTTGGTCCAAGGCTGAAGCTGACAAAGCTGATTTGAGATGCAAATTGGCCATGGAGTAATTACTGCTGGAGTATTTGTTGTATAAACCCATGCTATATTAGAGTTGGAGAGTCATTTATATTGCTATAGTTGCTCGCAAACTCTTACAATGTGCATCCCCATTTGACAAAGCATTCTTGTATACATGTAAACACTGATTGATCATCACCATCATTTACCTATTTCACATTGAGTTCCAGTCCATTGTGTAGGGCATGTGCAGTTGAAACTATCTCGCAGGTTCATACAGGTAGCACCATTCTCACACGGAATACTCAAACACTCATTGAAATCTGTAAGTGATGCAAAACGATGAGTGATTACACATAGATCATCAATCCTGAATTTCAACTTCAACTTTGTTTGTATTGAAAGTAAAGGTCATCACCGAGTACTACGTACCTCATCTATAATGAGATTGTTGTTTAATTTTGTGTTTGGCACATGCAGGGAGCTGTATTTGCTTAGCTCCACAGTTCGACTTTTCATAACTGTGAATAGTTGCACAAATCATCAATATTTTATTTCGGTTCATGTTAATTACCTACGAGTTGAACATGTTGAATATTCCCTAAGTATCTCCATGTATGAAATTCATTACAACATTCAAAGGAGAAATTGTGACACAGCTTGGAAAGAAATTGTACTTTCCTTGTAATTTCTTTGGTTCATGTGTGTACATGGTCATTTAGGATAACCTTGTGCCCAGCCACAAGGTCATATCTGGGATCTCAATTAACTGAACACCTAAAGTTCCAAAGAAAGCATGACATTCTGGAGAAATGAAACGATACAGAAATTGGTTCCGATGTGTTTTCGATGTTGACTTACCGTACTTGATCAGACTGAATTTTTTTCATTTTTGCCTTTACAATCTACTCTTCAATGTTATTCAGGATATCAATTATTACACGGTATTACTAAATTTTCAATTGGCTCCCCTCTCTCCTTGGGCTACTCAATGCGTTCTAATTATCTTTTAAACCGCTGTTGATCATTCTGTACAGCGGTATACATTTTGTAAAAAATGGGCTGTATAATGAAATAGAGAAGCATTCATTAATTGCAAGTATATACTTGCATGCATAAGCAATTGTGAGCATTTAGTCTATGGAGGTGGAAAAGAAGAAGACAATGCGTTCAACAAAATGAGACGTTCTACTGCATAAGTTACAGAGTTAAGTATTTCCTTATTTCTTCATAAAATCACAAATGCCTTGCTCATACCACTATTTTCACACGTGTTTCGGCTACTCATAAATTCGTCCCTATTTTCACGAAGTGACGTTAGTGAATGAAAATCGCATACAATTTGCGTGCAGATTTTCCTCACTACCGTCACTTCGTGAAAGCAGGAACGAATTACTGTGTAATTTCCTTTGGCATTTCAGGATTTGGACCTAAATATCGTGAAGTAGTATGCCAAGAAGTGGATCTTCCCAGTCAGTGTCAGTAACATGAGCATACATGTACACACATTCACAGAACTACCCAAATAATGTTGGGCTTTGTTAATATCAGCTGTGGTTGACCTCTAGTAATATCAGATCCTCATTAAATTCGTGAAAGTAATTCACATTATGATGATGATGTTCATTGTTACAGTCGTTAACTTCATGCAGACGCGCCCGCCCGCCCGAAACACACCTTCAGTATGCACTTGTATTGTGCAATGATTTGCTGTGAAACCTGTGATAAAGTGTATATTATAATGTCTTTGTTCCTAGGAAAAAATGCTACCTAAATATTTTCTTTAAATTGACACGAAACAGGTATAAGAAAGAAATTGACTTTTAAACAATGATCACTATTCGAACAATTGTTGAAGGTTTAATAGATTTGGATTATTTTATAGTAGGTATCTCATGGTCACAGGTCCATAGTATGGTAACAGTTTTGAACTTGCGCCCAGTTATGGTGATGAAATTTTGAATTAGATTAAAGAAGATTTATTGATACTATGGTTTGACAATACACATGTATACGGTTACAACAGTGTGCATGCGCAGAAATGGGCGCCATTTTAATTTACGAGTAAGCAAACCAAATGACCTTGTAGCGGCTCTTACATTCGCCCTACTTTTACCGTACATTCATGTCATCAGTATTTTTCCATCACGGTACTTATTTATATTCATTATTCGGGCCACGTGTGTATTTCTTTCCAATCGCGCATCGTGGTTCCGCACTGTTCACCCCGCGTATTTTCAACTCCACGAGGTTGTTCTCCACTCCCGCCTACACCTCGGTCGAGTCAACAACTCCTGCTTACATCTCAGTTGAGTCAACACGTCTCTGCATGATTTCCTCTCCGGGCTTGATTCTACTGTGCCTATCACTTCTATCGGCACATCTTCACTTTCTCTGCCGTGTTCATCGGGCTGCAGTCTTCCAGTGGAACAATTAAATCAAGATCCGACATATATGGTGCTTGGTTATCCGCTGGGAGCTGCCAGTTTCTTCACCGGTAGTCTTTCACTCACATGAGCTCGACTCACCGCAGCTCATCTAAACATTCATCATCAAAGTTCGGCTCATCAATCGCGCGACTCACTGCTCAGCACCACTACCGGCTTTGATGTCTGCATTTTCTTCCTTGGCCTCCGACATCAAGTGACTCACTGCTTTCGTCATCGAGCATCACACATCTCTTCTCTTCTCTTCTATTCTCGCCCGAGAGCTCCATCTACATTCATCATCATCATCGGCGACGACATCGCGTTCTTCCAATTCTTCAACCACGTCAACGAAGTCGCGTTTCTGCCATCAGCCTCCGCACATCATCGCGTGAGCCCCTTCTTTCGTTTTCATCTCTCTTCATCTTCATTGGACTTTCGACTTCATTTCTACTATTGTCGTAAGCTCTATTTATGTACATCGCATTTATTCATGTTCATTATCATCATTGATCATTATGTAATCTCCGTGCAATATTCACATTTACCATTTAAGCATTTTCATTCCGATTCTTCGGCTTGTGCTTGGCTACACTTTGCAAGTGTACGGCCAGCCTCATCAGTACCCAATAAACTAACGAAAAGGGAATACTTTCTTTCATGTATTTTATTGTCAGTGCAACCTTGTTTCCTCGTAGCTAAATAAAAATAAGAGTTATGTTGTGTGACGAGTGAACACGCTTTCAAATATCCATTCACAATACCTCACACTCATATTCCTACAACCTCTAGTCTCTAGAGGTCACTGGTTTATGCGTAAATAAAGATTGCGCCTATGCACATTATGATGTGAGCACACAACGCAGCGCGCATGCAGTGATGTCATCATAATTTACATGGTGCAATTTACGCATAAACCACTGACCTCTAGGTCATTTGGTTTGTTTACTTGTAAAATGGCGCCCTTAACGGTAAACTGGTGTTATTCCAGGTGCAAGGCTTTAGTTTCATCAACTGCGCAGCAACAACAAATGATAATAAATACAATGCATTGTGCAATAATAATCTCTAACAATACACTGTCTCTCAATTGCTAATTTTCTCTCATCCATAAATATGCATACATTTAATTTCAACAATATATTTATATAACCATAATTATCATATGTCACATAACGCTAAAAAATAACGTATGGGACTGTACATGAGCATTCACACACTTAACGAATGGGGGTTTATAAACGATCGAAAACAATTCACCTTCTGTGCAGTTGAATCCAGTCCAGCCTGATGAACAATTGCACGAATATGCATTCTCGAGATTGTTACATTCTGCTCCATTCTGACAAGGGAATCCCAAGACGATGCATTCGTTGATATCTAGAAAGAAATAAAAACAAATGCAAGCAGACGATGCGTGTTTAAGTGCCACAGACCTCGAATACAGAGATAATGCACTCTGCATTGCTGGGTATACTTCCGTAGTATATATACTACGCAAGCTGCATCCATTCGTTGATTTTAATGTGTGAAGCTGAGAGCTCAAGAAGTTACAGTCCCCATTCATGATTATGATGTGGTCATTTTTGTCTTATCTTACTTGTTGAGGCTATGAGGTAGCTAAATTTCAATTCGCTTCAAGATTTGCTTTCACTTTAGAATATGAGTGAACTTCACTTTCTATCAGTATGGAATCCAACCTAGATTTGTTGTCAATAATTATTGTGTGTTCAGCTGTTAACATGTTTTAACAAAAAGTGAAGTGAATTGTATACTTTACAACTATTTTTATTGCGCTTTAATAACAAATTGATGAAATATTGCATGGAATACACACACGAATCCCTTATTATTTTCTTTCGTTTTCCGAGCATAAAACACTGTTGCCCATAAAGTTGGAACAGTTTTTTACCTCTTTTCATGTAATGATCGTGACAATATGGTTTGTTCTTGATGAATAAAGTTTACATCTTATATCGATCAAGAATAAACCATATTGTCACGATTATTTCATAAAAAGGGGTAAGGAATATTATTCCAACTTTATTGGCAATAGTATGATTAAATATTTTAGTGAGCGTACCTGTTTCGCAGTTATCACCTTCCCAACCAGGGTAACATTCACACGTGTAGAAAGCTTCCCCTCCTCCAAACTGATTAGTGCAAAGTCCGTTCACACATGGCTTGTTCCGACATGGACCGGTCTCTGTAAGATTATCAGGACATAACAGCTCAACGTTATTTTGTTATTTGTTATTGTAATGCCTTCCTCCTCCTCCTTCTCCTCCTCATTCTCCTCCTCCTTCTTCTCCTCCTCCTCCTTCTCCTCCTCCTCCTCCTCCTCCTCTTGCTCCTCCTCCTCCTCCTCTTGCTCCTCCTCATCCTCCCCCTCCTCCTCCTCCTCCTCCTCTAGCTCCTCCCCCTCCTTCTCCTCCTCCTCCTCCTCCTACTCATCATCATCATCCTCTTCTTCCGCTTCTTCCTCCTCCTCCTCCTCCTCCTCCTCCTCCTCCTGCACCTCCTCCCCTTCTTCTTTACATTATATTGACGTTACTGTATCTTTTCATTTTATATTTGGTCTGATACAAGCTCTAGTAGGGCAATTAATACAATCATCAGATATAATTTAAAAGTCTTAGGTGCATGTGGTTTGTAAGGTACAGTACAATTAGGGCTTGTTTGGATTTCTAGCCTTCTAACCTATTTGTATTATGTGTATGTTTTATTTAACTTAGCTAGTATGTAAATCATGAAAATCTATAATGTATGTTTCTTTGTAAAATTGTGATTGCTTTTTATATGCACCGCTATGCTGAAGAACAGCCATTGGCTGAAGTATACCATCGTGAAAAAAAACATCAAACAAACAAACAAAATTGCCCTAACTGTAATGAATCCCCCCCCCCCCCCTCTTACCATTTTGGCATGTCTCTCCGTCGAACCCTTGCGGACAGTCACAGAAGAATTGATTGAAGAGGTTAACACATGTCGCGTTATTCATACAAGGATTTGATAAGCACTCGTCGAGATCTGAAAGACAAAAAAAGAATGAATCAATTATTTATTCATCTGAAATCAGCTGCCCTTTAACTCGAATTTGAATTTCATGGATAAAACGGATAAAGAAAGTTAAGAGGTAATATGGATACTCCTACCCAGTGGTAAATAAAGGGGGTACAGAGGGCGAACTAACCCCGGGCGGCACTTGGAGGCAGGGGGACGCAAAAGAACGAAAGAGAAAGAGAAGAAAAAGGAAGGTAAATTACCGTTCCTATAAAAGGTTATATGCGCCCCATTTCAGGGTAAAAAGCAAAAGAAAAGTGTGCTTTAGAAGGGTTAAAAATTCGAAAATTTTCTACAGTTCATTCGCTCTGCTCTATCGCATATAACTCTCTAGGATCTGGTAGTTTCGCACCAAAAATGGTATATTTTGCATAACAAGCGTCTTTAAAGGGCTTCCCTTGTAAGGCTCTAAGCGTTGCTTTCAAGCATGTTAGTTTCGTCAGGATTTTGTTGAATTTTGCACCCAAATATCCTAAATTTTAATGGGCTAGCTAAATGATAGCTATGTCCCTCAAATAAAGCTAGTTAAATTTGTCACTTGAAGATAAAAGAAGTCATATAATTTTTATTTCTTATAAATTCTATAATAAGAATAATACATTAATTTACTTTAAACAAGTTTGTACGTAGATTACACAAGAAATTGCGTCTCTTCATAGGATGGAATTTTAAAACATATCTACTGCTTTGTCGCTTTGCTACCACGCTTTAACTGTTATTCAAACTGTGATTACCATTCTCGGGTTTAATATATTAAATATAACTTTCACGTTATGAAAAAGCGCGACATTTGATTTCTATTTTTGACCTCATAAGTTTAGTAGGGGGGCCGAGGGGCAATTCGTTGTTTGACCCGGTGCCATTTTCCCTATAGAAACGTCACTGCTCCTATATCCAAATACTATCGTGAGGCAAATTCACGCGTCTTCGCTTACGTTTATATTATATTTAACAAGGCAATAAGCACAATTTTTCACAATCAATCGATGAGATATGGATTTTGCATCTTCATCTTCAATATTGAGCCTTTAAATGTCATTGTGTGAATGTGAATGTGTCATTATGATAATATTCAATGATTGAGTGAAAACAGACCTTGGGTTACAGCAGACTAAATTGGTTATGATACGTTCCTTAAAATATTGCATTATACTGGACAAGGATTATTACAATCTTAGTTACAGGATACACATGTTTTTCCAGACAGATCTTATTATACTCGTTGATCAAGTAGTAAGAAAGGTCATCATCATTATATTAGGCCTATATGGGGGAGAATAACGACCGTGGAAATTTAAACAAATTTACTGTAACTTCTGAATCTAAGGAGTTATACCGTGTATAGCAATTGTACGTGGCCTACTTTCGTTTGCCTAGTCAGTCCTTATACTTTGGAAGTGGCCGATGCTTTGTCTTTATATTTGCATGCATTGTTTGATTTTGGTTGGTGGGATTTGTTGACGTGATAGCCTACCTGACGTGCAGCTTTCCCCGGTGTAGCCCGGGTTGCAAACACATATCCCGTCGATGCATTCTCCGAACTGACAGCTCACTCCCTCACAGCTTTGCGCTGAGCCTGTAGAAAAAAATATGAATTAAACAAAAATGAAATAAAATGTTGTTAAAAAGTAGACAAAATGGCACAACTAGAATTTAAAAAGCGTTCTTTTTTTTTTCCTATTTCACATTTCACTTTACACATTGTCAGTTATGGTTACAAGACAAATAATAATGATTATAATAATACATATGTGTTTTCAATAAACACAAGTAATGAACTATATATATATTATATCACTTTGGTATGATTGCAGTTACTAGTACTTGTAAAATAAGGAGTGGTTTAAAGTTGCAAATGAGTACGTGTATCTTTGCCTCATATTCTAAATAAAATCCTGAATTTAGCTCATGCTGCAATCATGATTGTAAACCTTTGGGTCAGTCAGGAATCCCATGAATTTTACAAGCCGATCGCCTGTCTGATTATCAAGATATTTATGATTGGAAATCGACATTTCAAAAACCGTTTTCCCAAAGGTTGTTTATAGCACTACAATCTATTGGGGGAAATGAGTATGGTAAAACTGGCCACTCAAAGATTTTTACTTTTTTGAAGCACTTCATGATCATTTTGAAGCGCAATTTTTATGTTAGGGCTTCAATATTACACCAGATCATAGGCACTGATATAACGTAGGGCCAAGCATCTCAGATTTTTAAAACTGGAAACATTGTTAAACAATGCATTTAAAGCTGGAAATGAGGACACGAAGGAGTCTGCTAAGGTGAAAGCATAGCTTGTGGGTTTAAGGTTCCAGAATCCAGAGGGTAATACAATATTGAAAGTCTAACAGAGCGGGGACAAACAAGGAACAGTTCAAAAGTGTAATTAAATAGTAATTATGATCGGAGTGTGCATCGAATATAAATGAATAACCAGTATAATTACAACGAATAGTAAATAAATGCAAATTCAATAACATATGGACAAATAAAGGAAAATCATAAGACATTGACATGACGTTTTTAATTTGTATATGATCGTCAATCTGTACTACCCATGCGCAGTGGGAAAGTCATTTCTCATAACCGTTCTTGTCCATATCATGTAGGACAAGATTCATTGAATTCCAAAATACTTTCCAACAGAATAGGCTCCTTTTGAACGGCATTTACTTAAGGCTATCTATTTAAACATGAATATGTATATGGAGATGGTTTGTTTCAGGTACGCCTAAGAGTTTGATGTTGGGTATATAATCTCTCTTGCACTTCCCTGGATTAAAGTAATTATTTTCCTTTTGATTATTTTCGACATTATTCCAAACATTTTTTACATGTATATCAGAAAGACTACTCCGTTCGACATCCGGGGGGGGGTGTTTCATCAACTAAAATCGATTTTATTTATTTAGTGAAACAGCTCCTAAAATCGAAATCAATTTTAGGCCCTCAAAATTGATCAAATCGATTTTTAGATCGATTTTGGGCTTAGTGAAACACCCCCCCCCCCCCCGTTCTCGGGGTCACCATTAAATTTGGTTGATTTGAATCAGTATCAGTAGCTGAACATAATTATATTGACGTATCTCTCCTTTTCACTAAAGTATAGGTTTACACATTTTAAATAATAATAATAATAATAATAATAATAATAATAATAGCCTAATAGTCCACTCCAAATTTTATTGAACCGAAACGGAAATTCGTTTTGCCCAATTGATCGTGAGCCCGGCAGCCACTGAGCACTGATCACTTTCGACGATATTCAGGGTATCTGGTTACCGAATAGCAAAAAACTATTTATTTGAAAAGGGTTCTTTTTAGAAAATTCCCTAAATTTAAGATTTATCTGGTCTGCACGTTATTGTAGATTACGAGAAGGAGAGCTAGAGAGGGTTTTGTCATCATCTTCCTACGTCCTTTTATTTTCTCCTCCTTGTCCTTCCCTCTTATTTCTACTCATTTCGCTTCGTATCCTTCTCATTCTTTAACATGTTATACTTTTGTCTGTTCTACTAAAGATGAACCTGGTTCCCTGTCTATCTCTGTCTGGAGGTTTACCGAGTACAGTCATGGCACAAGTGAAATAAATGAATCAACGAATGTAAACTCAACCGTTCTCTATGGTAAACATTCCAAAGGGCATGTTTTCGGTAAGAACATTCACATCAATACAATGTGTTTTTATTAATGGGATATTGTTTGATTTGTCCGGTACAAATATAAATAATTTGTTCACTCACGATTGTTCTACCTTTTTTTTAAGTGACGCAGTTTGATTCAAATATCTCGTAGAGTTCATTATGCGCCCCTCCATCCAAATAGATGCAGTGTACAAATATTGGAGATGATTTTTGGAATTTATAATAAGCTACATAAAAATGTGTCTTTTCCTTGAATATGATAAATTTATTGCCTCCTTGATAAGAATGATGTAAATATCTGCGTTTTTTGTTTTGTAAAATGTCAGTAGGTTGATATTTCCCTTTCATTCATAACCATTTTTGTTCAATTTAAATTCAAGTGGAAATTCAACAATATATAGTTCTCTCTCTCTCTCTCTCTCTCCCTCTCTCTCGCTCCATATAAGCCTACGTGTATTCATGTATATACAAGTAAACACACACAGACACACACCAACAATACACACGCGGACACATATTACTCAATTTGGGTCTAAAAGTACAATTCATGCTCATAAAATATCATGTTAGGACGTGCAATCATTGTTATGCCATGAGGACTTTATCCCATCAAAAGTCATACGTTGCATGTCAATACCAGTGTGTGTGTGTAATTGGGTTTTTACAGACGTGTATCAATCAGATATGATTATTTACGTCTGGGGACCGACTTTTAACGTCACCATCCGAAAGACGTGACTCAGTTTCGAACCTGCGTCCTCGGCTGAATCAGTTTGTAACTTCCACTGTTAGCTGGATTACAGGCGCACGCCACAACGCCTAGTCACCTATTGTATATATTTCACATGTATCCAAAAATAGAAGCAGTTATAGCTCTTGAAAAATATTTCTTTCTCTTTTTCCAGTAAGATATATACTTGATCATGGAAGACTACTTTGTATCTATTTTTTAAAAGAAATTACATTTTGATGTAATGTTGTTATCTCAATATATCATTTACATTGGGCTCTCTGTGTATAAAGTTTTCGATCAGTCGATACGCCATCGACTCACCTTTTTATATATTACTTTTTATTTTGATGAGATGAGTTCGCTTCATGTTGCTTCCATGGAGTTTATTCTATTCGACAATGTAGCAAGAAAGCACGCGGTCCAAAGTTGCCAAAATAATCTTAGCATTTTCACTTTTTAGAGATAGTGCACATTGCACCCGGAAACTTTCCTTTCTTGGAATACATTTATCTTGTTCACAATGTTTTGCGTCATCGCTGCAACAAACAACATAACTTTTTTTATCAAAATAAATTGTGTACAAACATCACTGAATCTGCAGCCTATATCCTGAATGTGGTTTTCTTTAATTTTGTTTCTTCTTCATTTTAACGTTCATGTAATGTCGGCCACTCAGCCTATATCATTACATTATTTGTTCACCGGGAGATTTGTATGGTCACAAAGCCGCTCAAAGTCCGTAAAACCGAAGGATGACTTTGTGAAACTTTTATTAAAACTTTAACATCATCGCCCACGCTATGACGTCACAGCAGTTTATTCTATTTGAATTTATACTCGGAAATTAGTTTACGACGAGTCAAATATTATTGTTCAAGAAATAATTAAACCCAGCCTTTCGTTGCGTTGTCTTTGGAAAGAGCCCCCCCCCCCCCTCAAGTTAAAGTGGAGAAGCCGAATTTATGAACTGTTTAACCATATTCAACGTTTAAAGAAATGATGTGCTAATATTTTTGAGATGTCATGGGATAGACTAAAATTTCGCGATTGTAGTCCCAGTCGTAGTAGTGTCCTTTCCTTTACATTAATCCATATATGCTACTCTCAGCCCAGAGGGAATAAATAGATAGGCCTACCTGGTAGGAAGTGTATCTAATGAAAGCCTTTAGCTTGACTAAAGCCAGTGTAACCATGGTAATGGTGAAGAAGAGAAGTTTCATCCTTTATATCCAACACTTTTTATTATGTCACAAATTTTCACGCGTAACTTACGTTTAATGTAGTGATTATTTATATAAAAATGATGATGATAATAATGATAATAATAATAATGATAAAATAATAAAAAATAATGATAATAACAACACAAATAATAATGATAACATTATTTTTATTTCATAATCATCATTATTATTATAATCCTCATCATTATGTGTAACTGTTGGTTTTCATGATCATCCCTTTTATTTATATTTTCTTTAAAAAGCGTATACATTTTTATTTTAATAGAAAAAACAGGGGAAATTGTATAACGGCTATTTCATTGATATCAAATGATTCGACTTTTCGTAGCGGGATGTGTTATATACTGTTATTATGTATCAGTTACACAAGTAGTGGAGGGGGCATTACGTGACAGAGATGATGTAAATTGGAAAAGCTAGCCTCAAAAGTAAATTATTTAAAATTCGTGTAGACTTGCAAATAATATTTGAACTTTCACAAAAGAAAAGCTCTGCTGACCGTCAGATTAGTTTGCGTTGAATTCAGCAACAAAGGCCTCGTTGTTTGAAGGGGTTTTGCAGGAATGGGACTCTAAAGAAAACTGTAAACAACCAGTGAAAAGTTAGAATAGTCGGAGAAAATTCAATTCAGGACACTTGGTACAAAACTGAATAGTAAGATACGTGTAAGGAGTGGCTGTTTAACTTGCTTTTCATCCTTTCGAAAAGCAAACAAATTAAAGCTTAGAGGGAATATACATAAGTGGTTAATTTGCATAAAATACTGGTTTGGATTATATAAGGCTGTATGTAAGGTTTAACCGATACACTTGGCAGAATCGTTATTCAATACAAGTGCCTGAAGTTGGCAATTTATCTTTTTTAAAGAAGAATATACACATGATATAGGAATAATGGGGAAACTAAATTAGTTATTATGAAAGAGAGAAGTCACTTAATTTCCTTGATTAAA